TAGACGTATTTTTTTTATATGTGATCATCTGTCAAGTGTGGCAGTGAATATAAGCAGCATCCTCACTGTAATACGACGCTAAATGAATTACTCAGATTAGGCAAAATTGCACATTAATTCTGTAAATAAAGTTAGTCCAGTTTAGTTCATTTATTATACACCCCATACCCATCTTATGGGCGGCATTGGAAAGGGTTACAGAGGCTCAGGGACTGAACCCCCACAATTCATTTAGCTAAGCAAGTTACAATCTTGAAATATAAAGAAAACCAATCTTGTGCCTTGTCACAGCGAGCCACTGCTGGCATCACTGCCTTACAAGACGCCCACACTGAGGTTCAGCCTTGGTCGTAATCTTCTTTCCTAATACAGAGATAAACTCCCAAACGAGGCAGTTATAAACATGCACTTGAACGACACTTTACCCTGCGCCCTCTATATATATTTTTTAGTTTAGTCATACCCACATACCCATCCCGTGGGCGGTGGTGAAAAGGGTTACATAGGCACATAATGGGTTCAGGAGCTGAACACCCACAGTTCATTTAGCTAAGCGAGTAATAATCCCGCAATGCTAGTTACAAACATTTTCATACATATACACTTACCTATAGTCTTTATCTCAAGGACGTTACAAGAAGGACGTTATGTACATTCTTGTATATGCATAAATAAATAAATAAATAAATAAAGGGGGGGCGGCACAACAGTCTCTATACGAGGCAATTATGAAGAATAAGAACTTAATCGACTTGAGAATGGTCCAGGACGGACCGAAACGTCGTCGTCCCTTCACCTTCTAGTGTGTGGTCTGGCCAACATACTTCACCCACGTTATTGTGACTCATCGCCTGCATAAGAATAAGAACACATAGATCGTTTGTAAACCTGTGAAAATACATAATGAATTATATACAAGTATTCTGTAGGTTTTTCTTTTACTCCATTACACGAGTAAAACCATACATGTACAGAAGATACAACCCCCTAGACATGGCATACATGTACATAAGACGCATATACTGAACGCAGCGGTCGAGCTCTGAGAATACACAGGCACTTGATGCAACATGCAAGGTCATTATGCACCAGCAAGCAGTTTTGCCACATCACCAGATGAGGAGGACAACCCTCCAAGGCACTGCGGCGGCTCGAGTTGGAGGACAACCCTCCAAGGCACTGCGGCGGCTCGAGTTGGAGGACAACCCTCCAAGGCACTGCGGCGGCTCGAGTTGGAGGACAACCCTCCAAGGCACTGCGGCGGCTCGAGTTGGAGGACAACCCTCCAAGGCACTGCGGTGGCTCGAGTTGGAGGACAACCCTCCAAGGCACTGCGGCGGCTCGAGTTGGAGGACAACCCTCCAAGGCACTGCGGTGGCTCGAGTTGGAGGACAACCCTCCAAGGCACTGCGGCGGCTCGAGTTGGAGGATATCCCCATTTCTAGAGCAGAGTATTGCTAGGATACATTTTAGAACCTAACCATTTAATATAATCACGTCTGAAGTCATCATCTTGAGATCTTCTTGAGATGATTTCGGGGCTTTAGTGCCCCCGCGGCCCGGTCCTCGACTAGGCCTCCACCCCCAGGAAGCCCCCCGTGACAGCTGACTAACACCCAGGTACCTATTTTACTGCTAGGTAACAGGGGCATAGGGTGAAAGAAACTTTGCCCATTGTTTCTCGCCGGCGCCCGGGATCGAACCCGGGACCACAGGATCACACGTCCAGCGTGCTGTCCGCTCGGCCGATCGGTCTATCCCAGTGGCAAGTTAACTCGATCCCACAAGGCCCATCAATCCCTAAAAGATTGAGGGTCTCAGGACTGTCAGTGTTGCAGACAAGACTGGGCTGATCTCATCGAGACCTTTAAAATATTAAACAAGCTAAAATATATTAATCCAGAGTACTTCTTGAAAACGTCGACCGTAACCTAACATAAGGTTAGTTTAGCACTATGCACCCCATACCCGTCCCGTGGGTGGTGGTGGTGGAAAGGGTTACAGAGGCACATGCTTAGTTTAGCCTCACGAAAGGCTCACGTTCTTGTTGTTATAGATTCAGCTACTCTGAACAAGTTCCAAATAGCACGGGCTATGGTGAGCCCGTAATGGACCTGGCACAGGAGCGATGCTGTGTATCAAAAAGGCTCACGAAACTCCATAGTTTTATTTCAGGTACACGTCACTATGAATGATGTACTTACACGTTTCGTAAACACCACTCATGTATACGAGTGGGATTGGTTGGTTATAAATAGGAGCTGCCACGTAGGACCAATAGGCAGGTTACCCTTGTTCTTATGTTTTTATGTTTGATGCGCCCCTGCGTGTCCTGCTTCGGAATTTAATTAGAGACCTTCACCTTTGACCCCAAATTGATAACATGTCTAGCAGACAGTTAAAAGGGGTCAGTAACCGATTGGTAAACCATCATTTCTAAGTGGCCGATAAACTATACCAAATAATCAGATAACATTTCGGTGTGAAATATTGTCACTATGGAAGAGATCCTCAAGCCACTTGTAGCCAGAAATCATTCCAAGTTGTGAATAACATTCCTCACAGAACCTGCTTCGTATCAATATTTTTAGCTTCCATACGTCACAGCTGTATAAACCAACATATAAAATGTTATTAAATTGAACGCTGGACCAGGTAGTAAATTTACTAATTTCTTCGTAATATCATTAGTCTTAAATAAGAAATCTTAATTACAGGGTAGAACAGCTAACCAGCCAATCTTATCTGATATGGGTAGGCCTATTAATTATTTGCCGACCTATTGGTTCCGTGGCACCACAAGGTGGGGGGAGGGGGGTTATATACCAACCTAGTTGTGCTTACGGGGGTTGAGCTTTGGCTTCTTAGTCACCTAACATGACTAATTGGGAGTGCAGTTTTTGCACTAAAAATAAATAGGATGTCTCATTATAACAATGTAATGAATAACGTAATTGTACAACAGTTTAAGTTATTCTCGACACTAGAACCATGGATACAGTAAACCCCTGACGTCATATACATAATTCGAAGACAACCTACTTGAGAATGGTCCAGGACGGACCGAAACCTCGTCACTTTCTAGTGTGGTTTGGTCAACATATTTCAGCCACGTTATTGTGACTCCTCGTCTGCATAATTCGAACGCTGCGTTTTTCTTACCCCTAACGTCAAATCGGTGCAGCATCTCTAGTCTCTCTCATGATAAGTTTGTAGTTCATCACAAATAAGCATTTCGCATCTGAACATTAATTTGCGTGGGTTTAATATACCCGTTTTCTGTCATTTATGATACGTTTAAGATGCACATAATGGGCTCAGGAATTAAGATAACGTATGTTATCTCCTTGTTTGACGATCTGTTCACTTGTTCACAGATAAACTAGATACCAAGTACACCGATCTGGGTACTTATGTGTGACCGGATGAACAACCCAGCGCATCCGCGTCCTGTTGGTGGGACTGAACATGCTCCTATGGTGACATGTTCACTCACAGGATGACAGTGATGCTATCCAATAAACTTTCCCCCATCTGGATAACACTTAATAAACATATAATTTTTGGTTAAACAAGAGAAGTCTTCGTGGCAAGGAAGGTGGTGGGTGACAGTCTGCGGTCAAGCAGGGTTGGCTGATGTGTAACTACGCACATTACTCCCGTTCACTTGGCTAGGCTGCATGGGGGCTCTGCCCACCACTACGCATCTTGTAGCATGATTCAAACCCTTTGTTTACCATGAATCCGGTACCCATCCTGTGGGAGATGGGTTGCCATACTCAAGGGTGTGCTTATTGCCATTCCTAATCATCCTTGTATAACTGCGCTTATCTCTTTCTTGCACCAGTGGATGAGTTAGGATGTTGCAACTAGGATGAGTTGTGACATCCTAGTTTTTGAAGCCTAACAGACAAAATGATTACTGATGATATAATAGGCCATTTTACATGGCTTCCGTCTCGCATTGGCCTCTGAATGCATGATCAATTTTATGAGTAACTAAAGATTAAGCCATCAAAGAAGGCGTCGACTAATTACCTCAGACTGCCTATAATCAGTCTGAGAACAATAATATAGCAGAAACAACTAGATATCGTACACGAGAGTGACATCTTTTTCTATTACATCTATCATCATACAAGAATACCCACATGGGTCATCCAGTATAATCAGACATTACTACAAGTACATTTATCATACTTCGGAGGCAACAAATTAAGATGCACCCCTCCCTCCCTCCTCTCCTCCTCTCACGTGGTTGAGACACTCATCTACAAGTCATGTTTACACCATGAGGGTCAATTCAATCTCAAGGTTGTTTCTAATTTAGCTTTTGACTTCAGATCAAGGAGCCTGGAGGCCTTTTTTTCCCCAAAGCTAATTATATAATATGCCTAAGTTTTCTTTTCACTGCAATAGCGAAATAAGTGCATGAAACCCACCAATTGTACACATGCTGCTGTGCAACTATCCAAAGCTTGCTATTCCTGTGCGCAACAGTATATTATTTATGAAGGTATTAGCGGCTAATGGGCTGTAAATAGCTGCTGGAGACGACAAACCAACAACTTTCATAAGTACAGGATCGTTTGCGTCACTCTAATGGCTATCCCGTCCTCCTAAGGTTTCCCAACGTCAAGAAACTGTCGAACTACGGTGCCCTTAGCCTTACCTACCAGAGGACCCAAAACAGAAAACTGGATATTGCCAATTTATCAATTTACTATTTTCTAAATGACAATTTTTGCCCTTAGGTAGAGTACATATTCGTTAATAGGGAGACAAAATAGACGTCTGCCACTATAAGGTTGACCATTTATAGTCTACTAACAATATATACTTTTGTAGAATTCGATTGGAATATGAAAGCATGTCATATACAGTCGTCATTGTGCTTTCACGTAGATTAAACCTAGAATAACTTTGTGTCAAGAGCCGAGCGGTGCTTGGCAGCCTCGACGACCCTCCCTCCGTCCGTCAGCGCCTGGCTGGCAGGGCGGCCCGTGGCCTCAGTACCCCACACATCGTCAGAGCAGAGCTATCGCGCACTCAGTGTAGTGCCGTAGCCATCTCGACGATCCTGATCTTGCTCCCATTATCTCTTTATCACCGTCCCCTTGATTACCGACCCCGGCTAGATATCGCTACAGGTTACGGCCATCACCACCTTCTGAAGAAGCAGTTCAACATCGCGTATAACTAGACAAGGCAGCCTGCCCTCGGCCGACTTACAAGCCTAGCCCGACATCCTATCTTCCTCATCCATTCCACCCGGATCTTCATCCTGCTTCATCCACCATGGCTCTCGTCATCCAAGCTTGGCTACTAGTTATAGGTTAGTGATTTGTCCGCGTCATACATTAAGGCCCAAGTCTCAATATGTTAAGTAATGAACCTTAAGTAGAATCTTATAAGTAATGACTAAAAAAAGTGGGTATATGAAATATTTCAGACACATTTTCCTTTTTTTTAAATATTTTTATATTTGATTTTAGTAGATGTGCATATTTTTTTCCATATCCGTATAGACGTTTCAGAAATAAAACTCCATCGCAACTAAATAAAAAAAATACCAAGTAAACAATGTGCCGAGAAAAGTATTTCATATTAAATAATCATACAATTGGAACTTAATTAAAATATAGAGTTACCTTTTGCTTCGATTTGTTGTTGTGTATTACACAACTTAAACATTTTTGCTCATAGAAAGAAACTGTTATTAAGACTACGTCTCCAAAAGTACAGAATATGGGTATTATTCACATCAGTCTGTGCTTTGATCCTTGCTTAAAACAGCGCAGGGAGCGTCTTGAGGGTACCCGAATGCTGCTGCCTCCTAATCTATGTAACAACTTTTATGAATCATCAGACTTGAAGACGTCTTAGTTACGCAAGTTGTCTTTGGCAAAGGTCAAAGCCAAGTATGGGGCTTTAATAACCATTTTATATACCTTCGGGATATATGCCGTCAAAAAGTAATTTAACCCTTACTACCCACGAAATTTTTGTTATATTATCATAAAAAAAATATTATGGGCCAGATTCACGGAAGCACTTACGAACGTGTACATCTTTCCTCAATCTTTGACGGCTTTGGTTACATTTATTAAACAGTTTACAAGCATGGAAACTTCCCATTCAACTGTTGTTATTGTTATAAACAGCCTCCTGGTTCTTCGGAGCTCATTAACTGTTTAATAATTGGAAACAAAGCCGCCAAGATTGAGAAAAGATGTACAGGTTCGTAAGTGCTTTCGTGAATCTGGCCCCTCATCTGCGTACACATAACATTATCATACCGTAGATGTTTGCCTCATAAGGCAAGTTTGCTGTCCGTAACACCGGGATGATCACTCTGAAGCCTTGACTCACACACCTCAACCCTTAACGTACCTTCGCTGTACTGACGCCAGTTCTAGACCTCTGCACCTTGGAATTGATTCATAGTGTTATAATGAGACACGAGTTGAACTACTCGATCATCAACTCGAACAACTGGGCTGTATAATGAATGGTCACTGACTAATCATTATACAGCCCGTCCTAAAAAAATAAAATGACCAAATGCTCGTTAATCCATGTTTATATAAAAAAAATATTTACACACGACTCGATTGCCTTAAAACCTTTTTTCAACAGTGTTTACTGTTCTTTTTCGTGTGTTCGAATCGCACTTCTGTAAATGCTTCAACCCACGTACTGAAAACAGGAAAATTTACTTACAATCAAAACATCCACCCTAACCAATCCAAGGTCTAACTATCCACAAACTAATAATAGTCATTCATTGTGTCAGGGGGCAGGCAGCCAGCGTATATATACATGTTAGGCTTATATCGATGTCCTCTCACCCCCCCAAGGTCGAATCACTGACCCTCCCCAGGATGCAACTCTACAACAAGCTGACTATAACATCCTGGGTACCTATTTACTGCTAGGTGAACAGAGGCTTTAGGTGATAGGAAACGTGCCCAACCATTTCTGTCCCGCTTTATAAAATAAATTAATGTAATTAATTGTTTCGGGAACAGGCAGTCTCTCCCAACCCTTCCCAGCCTTCCCTACTCCTATCGGCCTCCCCCCCCCACTCTTCCCCTCTTTCATCAGAAAATGTATGGGGGTATTTTCAACCCATCACCATCCCCCTCCTTCCTACCTTCGTCCTCCTCCCTTTCTTTTTTCCCCCTCCCCCTTCACACCCCTCCCTCCAAGCCTCCCTCTCCCCCTCCCTCCACGCCTCCCTCTCCCTCCCTCCATGCCTCTCTCTCTCTCTCTCTCCCTCCCTCCCTCCCTCCATGCCTCTCTCTCTCTCTCTCTCTCCCTCCCTCCCTCCATGCCTCTCTCTCTCTCCCCCCTCCCTCCCTCCATGCCTCTCTCTCTCTCCTCTCCTCCCTCCCTCCCTCCCTGCCTCTCTCTCTCTCTCTCTCCCTCCCTCCCTCCCTCCATGCCTCTCTCTCTCTCTCCCTCCCTCCCTCCATGCCTCTCTCTCTCTCTCCCTCCCTCCCTCCATGCCTCTCTCTCTCTCTCCCTCCCTCCCTCCATGCCTCTCTCTCTCTCTCTCTCCCTCCCTCCATACCTTCCTCTCTCTCTCTCTCTCCCTCCCTCCATACCTTCCTCTCTCTCTCTCTCTCCCTCCCTCCATACCTTCCTCTCTCTCTCTCTCTCCCTCCCTCCATACCTCTCTCTCTCTCTCTCCCTCCCTCCCTCCCTCCCTCCATGCCTCTCTCTCTCTCTCCCTCCCTCCCTCCATGCCTCTCTCTCTCTCTCTCTCCCTCCCTCCCTCCCTCCCTCCTCTCTCTCTCTCTCTCTCCCTCCCTCCTCCCTCCATGCCTCTCTCTCTCTCTCTCTCTCCCCTCCCTCCCTCCATGCCTCTCTCTCTCTCTCCCTCCCTCCCTCCCTCCATGCCTCTCTCTCTCTCTCCCCTCCCTCCCTCCATGCCTCTCTCTCTCTCTCCCTCCCTCCCTCCATGCCTCTCTCTCTCTCTCCCCTCCCTCCCTCCATGCCTCTCTCTCTCTCTCTCCTCCCTCCCTCCCTCCATGCCTCTCTCTCTCTCTCCCCTCCCTCCCTCCCTCCATGCCTCTCTCTCTCTCTCTCTCTCTCCCCCTCCCTCCATGCCTCTCTTTCTCTCTCTCTCTCCCCCCTCCCTCCATGCCTCTCTTTCTCTCCCCCTCCCTCCATGCCTCTCTTTCTCTCTTCTCTCTCCCCCCTCCCTCCATGCCTCTCTTTCTCTCTTTCTCTCCCCCCCCCTCCCTCCATGCCTCTCTCTTTCTCTCTCCCCCCTCCATCCTCCTCTCCATGCTCTCTCTCTCTCTCTCCCTCCCTCCATGCCTCTCTCTCTCTCTCTCTCCCTCCCTCCATGCCTCTCTCTCTCTCTCTCCTCCCTCCATGTCTCTCTCTCTCTCTCCCTCCCTCCATGCCTCTCTCTCTCTCTCCCTCCCTCCATGCCTCTCTCTCTCCCCCTCCCTCCATGCTTCTCTCTCTCTCTCCCTCCACGCCTGCCTCCCTCTCCATCCTACAATATTACCAATAGCAAAATAAGATCAAGTGTCATCATGTCTCTACAGTATTATGTCTTTATAATATGCGTCACTGTCTTTATGACATTAAATCCTGGTTGGGTTATAGAATTCTTAGTGATTTATGGTTTGGCGACCATTCCAGTTTTCTCCCATACTTCTGGACTTAGCGCGGGCCGAGCATGCACTAGGATTTGATGACAAAAACCGGCCAAATCGCACCACGAGTGTTGCCGGGAAACGGTCCATAACCAACAACCAACCCACGAATGTTGGTTGGTCATTGAGCTCGTGCAGTAAGCCCCGATTGATTGATTGATAAAGATTAAGCCACGCAAGAGGTGACATGACGGGCATGAATAGCTCGTAAATTAAGCCCCCGATTGATTGATTGATGAAGATTAAGCCACCCAAAAGGTGGCATGGGCATGAATAGCCCGTAAGTGGTGGCCCTTTTGAGCCATTATCAGTAGATGATACTGGAGATCTGTGGAGGTGCGACTGCACCCTGCGTGACGGGAGATGTCTCCCGTGTTAAGCTCCCAGGATCAACTAACTCTTATAGGCAATCGCTGACGATGTATTCACCTAGTTGTGCTTGCGGTGGATTGAGCTTTAACTCTTTGGTCCCGCCTCTCAACCGTCAATCAACTGGTGTACAGATTCCTGAGCCTACTGGCTCTATAAATTTTGTGGCATTGGTACCGTGTATGCCATTGATATAATCACTGGTAACACAGGTTCGATTCCTGATCGGGTCATAGAGTTCTTAGCGATAATAGTTTTAGTTTAGTTCATTTATAATGCATCCTATACCCATCTTATGGGCGGTAGTTGAAAGGGTTACAGAGGCACATAATGGGCTCGGGGACTGAACCCCACAATTCATTTAGCTAAGCAAGTTACAATCTTGATGAGCTAGTTATACAAAATTCAGTACAAGTCGTCACATCATCAATGGGTTCGAGATCGACCACAAGTACAGTTTCTAAGTTAAGCAACTGACATGTGGAGAGCTAATGTCCTGATCTTTTCTAGCTGTATTTTAAACCCCAGCAGATTTTTGTTTTTTACGGCTTCAGTGGGTACTTTCGACTATAAGGAAAATAAAATAATGGTTCAACTCTATATAAACCTCTCGTGCGCTCCAATTTGGATTACTGTACACACACAAATCACAATTGCTTGATGCATCAAATGAACAAATCCACAAGGGCCGTGACGTTCACGGCCCTTGTGGATTTGTCTACTGAAAGTAAGTTCAGTAGAACTTCGGTTTTAACTCCTTTTACCACGTCGTAGCTCAGTCGATTAAGACAGCGTCTGGGATGCTCTCGGACGCAGGTTCGAATCCTCGTCACGACCCTTGTGGATTTGTTCATTGGATTACTGTATCCAAGCATAGAGATCTCATTTCCAGGACATAGCTGCTCTGGAGAAGGTGCAACACCGGGCAACAAAAGTCATTCCAGAACCAAGTCATCTCCCGTATCAGGAACGCTGGCGCTAACAACACTGCAAACCAGGCATAACAGGGCAGATCTCATTGAAACTTTTAAAATACTGAACAATTTAAAGGATGTTGATCTGGATATTTACTTCAGGTCAGATGTAACAAACAAGGAGCGACGGTTTCAAGCTCAACAAGTTACATATAGGACTGAGAACAGGCGATGCTTTTTTATTTACTGGGTTATTAACCCATGGAACCGCCTACCCGCCAAAGCCGTAACTGCCAAAACCGTGCTTAATGTCAAAATGTACCTGGAAAAAAATCATCTAGGCAAATAGGGGGCCCTTCGACATATTGAATTTTGTAACTAGCTCATCAAGATTGTAACTTGCTTAGCTAAATGAATTGTGGGGTTCAGTCTCTGAGCCCATTATGTGCCTCTGTAACCTTTTCCACTACCGCCCACAAGATGGGTATGGGGTGCATAATAAATGAACTAAACTAAACTTCGACAAGCCGTCGGCTTCCTGTCCTCATCGAGGCCACTAGTGTTAGTGGCCCTCAGGTAAATAAATCTTTCCTTTAGAATATATCAAAGCTGTATCCTGTTTTTCTATTCAACAGGAATCATTGCTGTCCAGGCTACAACAGGATCAGATCTAGAATACAACTGCATGCCTGATAACGGAGATAAAGGTGAGAACTCTTGTAATGTAGCCCGTGACCTAATTAATTCAAAGATCAAAGTCAACGTTGATATCAAATCTGCTGTCAGACTTGATAAAAACAGTCGCCATAACCACTAGGCAAATATTCATTACTCTAACATATACTGTACTTTATGGTTTTACTTTTAAACAGGGGACAATTTTTTAATTTATCATCTGTATCCTTCTTCAATAATTAGTTATCTTTATTTTACTTTTACCTGTTCCTATTATACGCATATTTGCATTTTTTTGCTATACTGTAGTTATTTTGTATCTAGAATTTTTTATTGCTCCCTAAGTTATATTTTCTACTGAAATTAGTTTATTTCTATTATTTTATTATAGTGTAAATTTAGTAATTTTGCCAAGTTTATTTTATTACTAATCATATGCTTCCTTTTTTGTACTCCACTTCATCTCACTCTCATTATTTTTTAATCTGAATTTTTATTGTAATTGTGTATTATAATCCATTGTCACACACCACCCCAATATCCTAATTAGAATATCCTTAGTCTTTCCATTCTTACTCTATGCAAACTACCACTGACCCCCTGAATTAAATTTGCTATCACATATCTACAATAGCCAGCACATTGATCATCACCATTGCAGTTACTGTACTACACAGCAAACCTTGCACCTTGCAAAAAAAAAAAAAAAAATCCAAAATAACACTAACTTGTCAGTACTGTATTAACCAAAATGTCAGATCACTTGGTAAACATTTTGATGACATCAATGCACTACTTGAATCACTGGGCTCTAAACTATCTTTCATTATTTTAACAGAAACATGGCTAAGTGAAGACCATACCTAACTACACAACTTAGCAGGATATAAAGCCATTCACAACTGCAGGCCTGACAGAAAAGGTGGTGATACGGCTATCTATTATCAAGTTAACTTCAATTGCACAAGTGTTATTAACAACATAACAGCTCCCCTTGTCTCTGGTATAATTACTGACAAAACAACTGATCACTATCCTACCTTCCTCTCAGCAAACATGGACATAACACCCACGGTTACCAATAAACTTACCTTTAGACTACACAGCAAACCAACAATAGGGAACCCTCATAAATGCACATCCCAATATAAACTGAGAATCTGAACTCAACAATGCACAGGATATAAATTCATTAGCCGACATCTCTCTCTCTCCAAAACTAAGCCTCTACAACAAACACTCACTGTCCTCTCCTCACTAAGAAAGTAACTGCCAAAAGATTAAACAACCCCTGGCTCACAAGTGGCATACTTAAAGCAATTAACAAAAAACACATATGAAAAAACCCCACAGGATTGGCCTAGTTACAAAAGAAGAAGTTAAGAGATACTCATCAATGCTTACCAATATAATATGAAGAGCCAAAGCTTCCGTTTGAGAATAGATTTAAAGAAGTAAAATTAAATATGAAAAGTACATGGAAAGCTATCTCTAACATCCTAGGGTCTAAACAACAATCATATAACAAGTAGATAAAACTCACCAAAGATGGTTACACACTTTCAACAGACTTCGATAATGCAACTGAATTGAATAGCTTCTTTTCATCAGTTGATGCTAACCTTGCTAGAAAAATCCCAGAGACCCAGATACATGTTAAAACATATCTCTCAGGCAGCTGTCATAATTCTCTACTGTACTCCTTTTACCAGTCAGCCTGACAGACATTATATCAGGTATATGCACAGAAGTTAGAATCTAATTTTACTCTCTTTAGTGGCCTCAAAGAGTACAGGAGACTGGTGCCTTGTCAGACGTCCCCCCATTTGTCCTGATGATTTTATTGAGTCGTGGAGAGAAGTTAAAATTAATTTCTTCAGCATGAGTGAAATGAATGGAACGTCTGCAAATGTCCAGGCAGGGCAGACAATTAAGCACATTTCTCACACCTGATGCCTCTGTTTGTCTAGCAATAAATAGGTACATGGGAGCTATGTGACTGTTGTGGGTTGCACCCTTGGGAAGGTCAGCCATTGGCCTACAGAGAATTCTTAAATCCTAATTATAGCCTCTCTGTCCTCAGCAATGAGAAACCAGATGATTTCTATTTTCACTTATCATGTACTGTACTTGGAAAGTACAGCATGATGAATGCAATATTAGATACTTTAAATTTTATTGATTGTTGTAATGACTCATGGGTTCATGATATATCCCATTTTTATTGTTATAAAAGCACAAACTTTTGCTGACATTTTCTGCAAGCATTTTAAGTTAAAACATGAAATGGAGAGTTTAGAGAGATTCATGTCATGACTAAGCAGCAGGAATACAGTCTGGTATTCAGATGAAACTCCAACTAAATTTACTAGTACAGTATCAGCAAAAATACAGACAGACCATTTCTGTAATTTTTATTTTATTTTATACCAGGCACCAGCGATCCCTTTACTGAGAACAGTCTACATTTTTGCACCCATCATATTGAAATATACAACTGATACAGTAAGTTGATGCAAAATTAATGAAATATTTGTTACAGTAACATAAATATTTATCTTTCAGTTTTCCCAAAGGAAGTTTGCTACATTCAACACTGTGCTAAGGCCATTGAAGGCCAAATCAAGGAGGAACTAAATGCAGCATTCAAGTACATGTACATGGTGAGAACATTACATTAAATGAGTTAAGGATTTACATTTTCTCCATACACTTTCAAATCGAGGAGATTTTGCCACCAGATATTGCAAGTGAAGTAATTTACATAACTGGTATTTTACCAATCATGTTAATTGATAAATATTTTCCTTACATATTGAAATAAACAATACTGTACTTTATATTTTATAAAAAAAATCCTACAGTATTGTACTTTAAAAATCTATAAATGATTTAGGCTTACTTTTAATAGTCATTTAAAACTGTACTCTTTTCTCTCCTTATTTAGGGCATTAGGTTTGGTCAGTACACAGTAGACAGGCCGGGTATCACCAAGTTCTTGATGGAAGCTGCAACTGAAGAGCGATCCCATGCTATCCTAATGTTGGACTACCTCAACACTCGCGGCATCAACCTTTCAACCAGCCTTTCCTACAGTTTTCAATTTAAGAACGTAAGTTGCTCAGGCATTAAATAAAAAATAAAAATGTGCTGTAATATTTGTACTGTACTTGTCAAAAGTTTTAGTTCACTCACTAATAACTTAAATTTATCTGAGGAGCCACTATCTTTCTAATGCTTCAATGTGGACAGGAAGCTGGCAGCTTGTGAAAGGTCCCCTCCCCCCCATTTTTCCTGATTTTATTTATTTGGATTTTAAATTGTGGCCGTGTTTTGGTATTACGTAACAGCTTCAGTGGGTAGGTAGTACCATGGGTCCAAAAATCACTTCCTGACTTCTGTCCTACTTGGAAGCTATTGAAATATAAAACATTAATAGTAGCAAAAAATATTTTTGATGAACACAAAATTTGTGAAAAAAGTCAGTCTTTTAAATATAGATTATATAAATGCATATTTTATAAAATATCTTAAAGCAGCATTGAAGACATACAGTATAAGGATATATGTGCTTGTCAATTTGACCTTAATGAATATTCTTTATTATGTAAGGCACGAGATTGAAAGCTATACCCTAGAAGACAACTAACAAAACCGTTGTTATTTTTATTTATAACAGGAGGAATTATATTATATACATATATATATATATATATATATATATATATATATATAACTGAAAACTCACACCCCAGAAGTGACTCGAACCCATACTCCCAGAAGCAACGCATCTGGTATGTACAAGACGCCTTAATCCACTTGACCATCACGACCGGACATAATGAGGTGATAGCCGAGGCGATAGCCTCACGTGTTGCCCCAAAGAATGAGGTGATTTGGTAAATGCTATGCCCAAGATAACTATCCGAGTGCCGGCGGTGGGGTGGTTCAAATAGCCTCGGCTATCACCTCATTATGTCCGGTCGTGATGGTCAAGTGGATTAAGGCGTCTTGTACATACCAGATGCGTTGCTTCTGGGAGTATGGGTTCGAGTCACTTCTGGGGTGTGAGTTTTCAGTTGCATATGTCCTGGGGACCATTCAGGCTTGTTCGCATATATATATATATATATATATATATATATATATATATAATATATAATATTATCTCCATACTTTCTGTGGTTCCCATGATTAGGAAAGGAAATTGGTGGATTTTAAGAAGACCCTCTATTTTGTCTGAAGGTTTTTCCAATTGTATATTGAACTGAAGCACTGTTTTGACATTTACAGCTTCAATGGTAGATTTTCTATGAATTTATTACTCTATGAGTGAAAAAGTAATGTAGCTCCGTTATCTGTCCAACATTTTTGCTCTAAAGCTTGTAGTTGTTACCCTGTGTCTGAATTATATTGATCCTTTTAAACAAGTGGTCTGGATTCATGTCTTGCAATTTTTTAAGTACTGTACTGGTATTTTAAGTATTGAGAACAGCTCTGCCATGTCTTGCTTGTAACACTTAATCCTGAAGCCCTCAACCTCTTCTAATATGGAAGCTGATATCAAATTTGATTTTTGCTCCTTTATGCTGAACTTTTTAAATTGGTTAAAGATTATACAGCATCTCATTGCATTTGGAAGGCATTTTTGCAATTTAAGAAAAAAATGACCGAGTAATCATGTGTGTTTTAGCTTTGCACGAAAATACCCCCCAGAGACACAGATACAAAAGTGAGATTTGGTTAGATGAGTGAGCAACAACAGATAGATGAAGAAAAGGACCTTGGAATCAAAATCCATCATTCACTAAAAGTTGCACAACAAGTGTGAGTGGCAGTAAAAAAAAGCAAACCAAACCCTGGGAATAATCAAGCATAACTTTACCTTCAAGGAAAAGAAAGTCGCTCAATTGTATAAGTCTCTGGTGCACCTCCACCTGGATTATTGCATCCAAGCATGGAAACCTGATCTTCAGAAAGACATAGCTGCTCTGGAGAAGGTGCAACACTGGGCAACACAAATCATACCAGAGCTTAGTCATCTCTCGCATCAGGAACGCTTGAGGGCCACTGAGCTAACACTGCAGACAAGGCATGACAGGGCAAATCTAATAGAAACCTTCAAAATACTAAACAATTTGGATGATGTCAATCCAAACACTTTCTTCAAAAGGTCAGATGTACTGTAACACGAACGAGGAGCAATGGGTTCAAGCTCAACAAGCCCCATTGTAGGAGAGAAAATGCAAGATGCATTTTCACCCATAAGGTTTTAAGCCGTGGAACTACCTTCCTGCCAAAGCCAAAACTCTGCCGAGTTCTAAAATACAGATAAAAAAGATCATCCAGGCAAATGGGGGGACTTTTGACAAGCTGCCAGCTTCCTGTCCTTGGTCATTAAAATTAGTGGCCCTCAGGTAAATTCCGATACAGTGCAAAGTGAGGTATAGAGGGCTGAGATTATGTACTGAAGGCCGAAGGAAACTTCCTAGTAAAATACTCAACATTTAATAAAGGTAAAACAATGAAAAAAGGTGTGATACTGTATTTTTCAGATTCATTGCACACACTCCACTATATTTCTATATTCAAACATGGAGGTTTCAACTAAAGACATTGCATCATTGTAAAAAGTTCAACACAGGGTGGCAAAATTAATTCCAGCACCAAGTCAATTTGTTTACAAAAAAAAGACAGAGTGTTACAGGACTACCAAAGTTTCAAACAAAGTATGAGAGAACTTTGCCTTAGGCCTATATACTGGGTTGGGTTAGCCATTCAGGCATGACATGTTCTGACATAGGAAAGGTTAAGATATTGATGAAGATAATGTAAATACCGACATCTGCTTCAGGTGGTATAATATAATATCTACAAGAAGCAGAAGTTTCAAACTTGCAAAGCCACAATGCAGGACAAGTAACAAAATTCATCTTCTGCCAAAGAGTAATAGACCTATGGAACAGCCTACCTACAATACCTGTTGAAAAAATAAAACAGATACTAATAAACCTAACCTTTACAGTCTCCCTGGTATAGTGGTAAGACACTCGCCTGGCGTTCCGCAAGCGCTATGTCATGGGTTCGTATCCTGGCCGGGGAGGATTTACTGGGCACAATTCCTTAACTGTAGCCTCTGTTTAACGCAACAGTAAAATGTGTACTTGGATGAAAAAATGATTCTTCGCGGCAGGGGATCGTATTCCAGGGACCTGCCCGAAACGCTACGCGTACTAGTGGCTGTACAAGAATGTAACAACTCTTGTATATATCTCAAAAAAAAAAAAAACCTAACATGTCGCACTCACATTGTATTTAGTGCACTAACAAACTTGCACTGTATCTAGTGCTACCCAACCCCCCCAATATACGTACCCAAGCCATACAACTTTACCATTGTAATCATAGCTATTATCTTATATCACTTTTGTTACATTGAATGCATTTCTTACTGCATTATACTTTGAAATAATCCTCAAATTATGCTACAATGTACCTGTTGATAACCCCCAAATTTTACTCTAATGTACCTATTAAACTTTATCAAATTTTCTTACAATATACCTGCTAACATTTCTTCAATTTTGCTAGAAATTACCTACTTAAAATTATGTTAGATTCAGGACCTGCCCAAAACATTGTGTGCTACTGTAGTGGCTCTACAAGAATGTAAAAACATCAATGCTATATACTCTTATAAATCTAATTTACCTTCTTGTATATATATAAATAAATAAAATGTCCAAGGCATAAATAAGCAGTCTTAGGCCTACTGTATGCTATCTTAAGCCTAAATGTGGACATAGAATAAGTGTGTGTTATACTTGGCCTAGGAATGGTTATGATTGGTGTTTTTTGTGCCCTCTAAGAATTTAATATTCTTAGAGGGCACAAAACTCTGCCCTCTGTTTATGTACAGTACATAAACATGACTTTTGTTGGTGCAATACTCCATTTCTGCACATTTGACCAAATAGTTCCTATGAGAACAGTACAGTACTAGTATTTCCGAGGGTTGGTTGATATGTACAGAACAGCCTATCTATGGAAGATATCCAACACAGGATAGCTTTACACTTCAAAATACACCAGAGAACACATCATGAAGAATGATAGACCCTTTACAACAAGCCAGTGACATTATGTCCCTGTTGGGGTCAATAGAGATAGTGACCAATAGATAAAATACAAGTAAAATCTGTAAATATTTTAAATGAAAACATATTTCCTATATTTCTCACTATTTAATTAAATGCTATTTAACACACAATAATTCTTTGTTTATTTTGTCAGTATACTGTGTACCTCAAGAACATGATGTACAGGGATGCATTGAAGGAAGCTCTCAACATGGAAATTGAGGTTTGTTGATAGTGAATTTTAAAGTATTTTCATAACGTGCATCAAATTTATTATAAAGCAAGATTAAGTTACTTACAGTATATAATATGGTAAAGTCTATCATGTCATTTCTCACAATTTGAATTTATCTTAAACACATTATTATTTCTCAACATTAATCATGTTAGGTTGCTGCAGTAAGTGCCCTTTTTGCACATCTGTGTCTAGTTAGTTTAGTTCATTTATTATGCACCCCATACCCATCTTGTGGGTGGTAGTGGAAAGGGTTACAGAGGCACATAATGGGCTCAGGGACTGAACCCCACAATTCTGTGTCTACAATTCACTTAGTCGCCATCTTATAACAACACACACATCTTAATGAGAAAATCAGCAGGAACTGTGATAAGGGTTTGATCCGCATAGCACCCACCCACCGCATAGGTTCGAATCCCTCATCACAGTTCCTACAGATTTTCTCACTGATGCAGTCACATTAGTGCGAGTACTTTCTGTAGACATCTTAATCATAAGTAACATATTTTCCATTATCATTTAATGGAGAGGAATCTGCAAGATGGGAATGTTAGATAAATATTAGTAAAGATGTTAAAAGATACTCATTAAGACACCCCCAAGCATCCTCCCTCATCTTCCACACTGCATAGCATTGCATATTACTGCAACAAAATACTGTATTTAAAATATGAAGACATGCTAAAAGAGCAAATAGCATGATGTAAAACTAATAAATTTTTGACAATGTTGGCCTTATACATGCTTGTTTTGGAAAAGAACATGTTTAATATTTGTAATCATTCGTTATACTGTACTTGCATTTGATTTCAGGTGACCAAATTGATTTACGACGTGGTGAGTGCTTGTGGTAACGACTACCATGGAGCTGATGTGTTCACCAATCCTATCCTGGATGAACAGCACAAAGGTGTTCGCAAGCTACAGGGAGCTCTGCGTGCCTTTGATGACTTGTCCGAGAATTATACAGGGGAGAATGCTGTTCTGGCAGAATATATCTTTGATCAGAAAATGCTGAGTGGAGAGTTTTTAAGTTAAAACCAATGCACTGCAAATGAATCCACATCTATGTGTGTGAAAACTGTTGTGTCCTTAAAATACTAAGTCAAAAGGATATCTTATTTCCAAATCTTATACATTGTACCATAAATGAAATCTTTTAAGATCAAAAATTTTCACCCACCCATTTATTTGTATGTACAGTACTCTCATATAAATTAGTTCAAAATTTTATAGGAAATAATGTATATTAGTGCCCTATTTCCAGTATTACACATCAGTTTTTTTGGACAAACCTAATTTTTACAATATGTTAGCAATTTATAACATAATATATTATATATATATATACATATATATATATATATATATATATATATATATATATATATATATATATATATATATATATATATATATATATATATATACTGTATATATATTGTAGATTTTTATTTGAAATTTGTTCTTTTGAGCACAAATTTAAACACTCAAGAGAAGTATATTTTGTCACTTTTTTGTTGAATTTGTTTGGTTTGGCTTTGTTAATACCATATGAATTTAACCAATATTTGCTTTTAGTTTAATAACAGATAATGCCATCAGTATAATTTTGTACGGCTTCTCAGTTAATGTTTTCAACAGCACTACCTAATGAGATTAGAGATACAATAAAATAATCACCTGGATTTACCTGAGGGCCACTAGCGCACTAGTGTCCTCAATGAGAACAGGAAGTGGGTGGCATGTCAAAGATCCCCCTATTTGTCCTGATGTATAATTTAATATGATAATATTAACATGATAACTTTAGGTATACAATTAAAAGTCACAGCCTGAACAATTGTAATATTCTAAATAAAAAATAATCATGAAACATATGAGTGTACTTGCTTATCAAAAGGCAACAAGTAATTATCAAAAGAAGGCACCAGACCGGGAAGGCTATGTAGCACCATCAAATGTGCGGAATAATCAGAGGGCGCTAAATATCACCAAGGATGCCAATACGAGAATAGAAACGCACAAGGCGAATGATATCAAAAGTATCTGATTCACCAAGAATTCTATCGAGTGACAAGCAACTGCGGGGGACCTTTGGAAAACAAGACACATGCTCGTCCTGAAAGTCAGGACATTCAACAAGAATATGCATGACTGTAAGAGGGACGATGCAATTTGGACAATAAGGAGCTGGGCGGCACTCCATTAAGTGACCATGAGTTAAGCGTGTATGGCCAATACGCAACCTCGCCAGAGCAAATTTCCCATCGCTGGTTACAGTGGTAGGAGGACGGCCATGAGGACACACAACTCTTAAGAGTACGCAGTTTGTTACCAGTAACAGAAGACCAACAATCCTGCCAAAGGGTATGGATGGAGGAATGAATAACTGGGTAAAAGTCGAAATAGGGAATACCTTTACGAGAGATGGGACAAGAGCGGACAGCTTCCCTAACGGCAGCATCCACACGCTCATTTAAAGAGACACCAATATGGCTGGGAACCCAGCAAAACTCAACTGACTTAAATCTACTGTGGATGAGAAACAGCCAATGCTGAATCTTGACAACCACTGGATGACCCAGATTAAAGGGCCCGAGAGCCATGAGGGCACTACGAGAATCAGCGACAACAACGAAAGAAGATTGACAACGAGAAAGCAGGAGACGAAGATCATGAGAGCTCCTATCCGCTCCCAAAGAAGTATGGGACAACACCTGAAGGAGGGTAAGGGTCTTAGAGCATTTATCTCTGAGGTAAGAGATATGGGGCAACCAAGACAAACGAGTGTCAAAATTCAACCCCAAAAGCTTAGCGGAATCCTTGTACACAATGGGGTGACCATAAAGCGACAAAGAAGGACGAAGGACGACACACTTCCGAGTAAAAGTCATAGCACAAGTCTTAGACGTAGAGAACCTGAAGCCATGATCGGTGGCCCAAGACGACACGGCATCAATCGCAAGTTGAAGCCGCCGTTGAAGTTTAGTTTAGTTCATTTATTATGCACCCCATACCAATCTTGTGGGCGGTAGTAGAAAAGGTTACAGAGGCATATAATGGGCTTAGGGACTGAACCCCACAATTCATTCAGCTAAGCGAAAGAGAGGCGAATCATCACCCCGACAGCAAAGGGTAAGATCGTCGACATAGAGAGCGAAGAAGACGCTGGAAGGAAGAGAGGAAAGAAGACCGTTGAGGGCAACCAGAAAAAGAGTAGTGCTCAGAACACTATCCTGGGGCACACCTTCGTATTGCTGAAAAGAGGCAGAGAGAGTGGTACCAAGCCTGACTCGAAAGGAACTATGAGAGAGGAAGCTTTGGAGAAAGAGAGGGAGATTACCCCGAAGGCCAAAAGAATGAAGTAGGGACAGAATATGATATCTCCAAGTGGTGTCGTAAGCCTTTTCCAGGTCAAAAAGGACGGCAACAACGGAGGTCTTCGCAGCAAAAGCAGTACGAATATAGACTTCCAAGTTCACCAGGACATCTGTTGTGCTGCAGCACTTGCGGAAACCAAATTGAGAAGGGGAGAGGTGGTGATGGTGTTCTAAGAATCATATCAGACGAACGTTAACCATACGTTCAAAGAGTTTGCAAACACAACTCGTGAGGGCAATAAGGCGAAAGTCCTTAGGGATGAGGGAGATGGCGATCGAAGCATCTCATAATGAATACCATCGGAGCCCGCCGCCGTAGAACCACAGAGGGCCAGGGCAGACCGAAGTTCAGAGAGAGAGAGAAGGGATCGTTATAGGGAAGTCGGAGATGAGGGACCTGTTCTACGCATACTAGTGGCTGTACAAGAATGTAACAACTCTTGTATATATCTCAAAAAAAAAATCTAAAGGACGAGATTCAAGAACAGGTTTACGAAGAAGGAAAGATTGAGGAAGATGAGAACCAGAGCTAACAGAAGGAAAAATGGGAACCCAGTTCGGTAGCAACCTACAACGGGTTCGCCACAAGAGTACCACGGAGGTGAAGGACCAGCGAGACATCGGGAACGAACTTACCCGCTATCTTGCGGATACGCTTCCAGATCTGCAGCAAAGGAGTTTCGGACGTACAGTAATGGTGGAGACATAAGACATCCATCATTCACGTTTAGCCGTACGGATAGTCCTACGGGCCACCGTACTCGCCTACCGAAACAACAGAAAAGACTCAGCCGTCTGCCGGCGAAGGTCTCTCTTCCAGGCTTACAGCGGACAGCCCGAGCACAGTCCACATTCCACCAGGGAACGCACTTCCGCGTCCCCCGAGAGGAAGAGCGAGGAATAGAGCGGAGGGCAGCGTCGAGGACGTTGTCATGAAAAAGGAGGAGGGCGCGAGGGAGAGGCAGAATGGAGAGTTCAGAGAGAGTAGCATGGAGGGTAAATAGGTTCCAGTATGCCTTGGCAAACCACCACCTAGAGAAGTAGAGGGGAGGGAAAAGGGTAACAAGGATGGGGAAATGGTCACTGCCATGGAGGTCATCAAGAACTCGCTACGAGAAATACAAGAGACGACGAGCAGAGAGAAAGGTCAAGACAGGAAAGGGTGCGAGTCCAAGAGTCTAAATGAGTGGGCTCACCAGAATTCAGAAGAGACAGGGAAGAAGAGAGGTTGAACGGTTCAAGAAGGCGACTCCGGGTGTTTGTCAGAACATCACCCCAAAGGGTATGACAATTGAAATCACCCAGCAGGAGCACAGGCTCCGACAAGGAGTTCAGTAGGTGTTTAAGATCGGGAAGAGAAAGCGGGACATTCGGGGGGAGATAAATGGAACAAGCCGTGTACCATTTCCTCACAAAGATACGGGCAGCAGAACATTGGAGTGGCGACGGAAAAAGTAAGGGGACGAAGGGCACATCAGAGCGAATCAAGAGAGCAGAAGAGTTAGGAGCCCCAGCAACAGCCGGAGGGGAGGGGGAGAGAAAGGAATAGCCACGGAAGCGACCAGGACGAGCACCAAGCATCGGCTCGTGGAGACAGACACAAAGGAGCGAAAACTGAAATCAGAAGGTGGAGTTCAAGAAACTCCAAAAGAAAAGAAAGCAGTCGTTCAACTGTGTAAGTCTCTGGTGCGCCTCCACCTAGATTATTGCATCCAGGCATGGAGACCTCATCTCCAAAAAGTTGTTGTTATAGATTCAGCTACTGGGAACAAAGTTCCAAGTAGCACGGGCTATGATGAGCCCGTAGTAGACTTACCTGGCACAGGAGCGGGGCTGTAACTGCGGACCTTCCAGAAAGACATGGCTGCGCCGGAGAAGGTGCAACACAGGGCAACGAAAATCATACCAGAGCTTATAGTCATCTCCCGTATCAGGAACGGATGAGGGGCCACTGAGCTAACAATACTGTAGACCAGACATGACAGGGCGAATCTAATAGAAACCTTCAAAATACTAAACAATTTGGACTCTAGCTGTCGATCCGGATACTTTCTTCAAAACATCAGATGTAACACGAACGAGGAGCAACGGGTTCAAGCTCAATGAGCCACAATGTAGGACAGAAAACAGGAGATGCTTTTTCACTCATAGGGTTGTAAACCCGTGGAACCGCCTACCCGCCGAAGCCGTAAACGCCAAAACTCTGCTGGGTTTTAAAATGCAGATAGAAAAGATCATCAAGGCAAATGGGGGGGGGGGGGATCTTTGACAAGCCGCCAGGAAGTCGCCAGCTTCCCGTCCTCGTCGAGGCCACTAGTATTAGTGGGCCCTCAGGTAAATTCAGATAAATTTTGAAAACTGTATATAAATTTGAGCAAAATCTCACCCCATCGCCGTTTGCACTAATCTGCATATTGTCGATATAAAAATTCGTAATTTAAGACTACTCAATAGCTCCATCGACTCAATAGTCGATAAGCTTCGGTCTCACACACATGGGGGTGCACGGTTCGAGTATCCTAGAGCCCAGGTAAAATGGGATATTTATTTCCATACTCTCATGTCTCCAATCAACTCAAACATGTCATATTCTCTTCACCTTTCTTGAGAATGTAAATTAAGCTTTTTCAATATCTCTTCCTATGGAAGCTTTCTAATTTGCGAGATTAACTTTGTCACCCAACGCTGGACGTGTGGTAGTGAATTTTTATTCATTCTATAGCATGGCGACCAAAACTGAAATGCATAATCTAAATAGGGCTTAAAAATATCGCGATATTGCTGAAGAGTAACACCAGCTGATTTACTGCTAACGCTATTTATATAATATATATATATATATATATATATATATATATATATATATATATATATATATATATATATATATATATATATATATATATATATATATATATATATATATATATATGTGTGAGAGGGAAAAATTCTCAGCCTGCTAACAAGAGTGTGAAGTTGTCTACGCTTAATTTAGAAACTGTACCTGTGGTCGATCTCAAACCCATTGATGATGTGACTACTTATACTGAATTTTGTAACTAGCTCATCAAGATTGTAACGCTTAGCTAAATGAATTGTGGGGTTCAGTCCCTGAGCTCATTATGTGCCTCTGTAACCCTTTCCATTACCGCCACAAGATGGGTATGGGGTGCATAATAAATGAACTATTCTAACTAACCTGTCTAGCTCCACCCGTTCCTGCCCAGAACTAGTTGTTAAATAAGCACTTTACCTTGTCTCTTCTTATTCACCAGTCTAAGACACTTGTCACGCACCTGAAAAAATATGTTTTACATATATTAAGGGCAAGTATAGCAAGTTTATTTATGAAGAACATAAGAATGAAGGTAACTGGAGAAGGCCTATTGGCCCATACGAGGCAGATCCTATTTATATTCATCCAATATTCATATATATATATATATATATATATATATATATATATATATATATATATATATATATATATATTACGCTTGAAATAATCAAAGGATCGTACTTTTATTATTTTACGAGGAAATATTTGATTTTTTTTTACCCAAAGGGTTATAACTCCATGAACCCGCTTAACCACTGAAGTCGTAAATGCAGAGTTATTCCTTTAGTTCAAAATCTAGATAGGAAAATCCTCAATAAAATGGGAGAGGGGGAAGGACCTTTGACAAGCCGCCGGCGTCCTGTTTCCGTCGACGCTACTATAGATAGTGGCCCTTAAGTAAATTCATCATACCAGCCTCTCTCCTTCCCTCATTCTGAATCATGTTCATTAAAGTAACTTGCATTCTTCCCCCCCCCCCCTCTCCATCCTCACAGGCTTGGCCACGTTACACAACCTGTGGCCTAAATTCCTCGTTTCATTCATATTTCCATCAAAATATGTCGAAAATTTGTTTGTGGTGTTTGGGCTTAAGGCTAACCGCGGGCATGGCTATTATAAGACCACCACAAGAGCCCTAATGACCAATTAGCTGGTACACCTGTCACATCTCCGGCTGCCACCTGTCAAACACACGGCTATAATCGGCCTAAATACATCAAATACAATGAATAATAACGAATAACATAACATTAAGTATACACGGGAACACTACTTTCTATATTATGATTGATTAAACAAGTATTGTTCTAACAGATCTATTGTACTCACACTTAAATAAATTTGAACTACCTCAGTTGCCTGCTCGTCCTCAAATGCCCACATTTTAGGAGGTGGAACCCCCGGATACGCCACTCTTCCTTGCTAGACTATATTATCAAAACTGTCAACCTGTAATACAGTTAAAGCTTCTGACCACCAGAGGCGCTACTGCTCCCTTGTTATTTCACTATCCACGTAATAATTCCTGTAATTTTCATTGCAACATTTAAATACATTCATGTTTTGTCGTGTATATATATACACAACAACTTCAGGAATTGTATGAGTAGCTGATTTAGTGTAAACAATAATATATGCGTTTTTTTTTTTTGTGCCAAATTATCTGGCAAATATATACATTTGGAAATAAAAAGAAGAGTTTTAATCCTTTCTGTAGCAGTGTTAAGTCATTTTAAAGAGTGGCAGTTGGTAGGTACCCGGGAGTTAGTTAATTGTTATGGGGATGCATCCTGAAGTACTCTATAAGATGCATTATGAGGCACTCTGACTGTTCAGAGTGCTACTGTACACTCACAACATTGTGATTATCAGAATCAATATCCTCCAAACTGCTCATTATTTTCAAAGTTTCGATGAGATCAGGCCTATGGCCACTGTTTTATCCATATTTGTATTCAACCATTTTTTTCTATGGTCTTGTCATTTCTTTGTCAGTCTTTCATTTGATATCCTATCTAAAGTTTTAGACAAGTATCTTCTTGGAATGTATTTTTGAACAAGTTCAGTGATGATCTTTGTTAAAAAAAGTCCCCATGATGCTTCCATGGTTTGATCTCCTATTAACTTCCCGCCAGGAGGTATTTTTCAATTCCTCTCTCGCTTTATGATAGCCTCCTCGAAGATAAGTAGTATATACATAGGTATAGGCATATATATACATAGGTATAGGCATATATATACATAGGTATAGGCATATATATACATAGGTATAGGTAGGCGTGTGTAAATCATCAAGAAATTAACACGTTATGAGCAATGTGTGACAGTATCAGACCACGAAGGAAGGATTAAGACAATCAGGACAAGAATATCCTTAAGTACATCTCGTATTCATTAATACATCTTCAAATTAAATACGAAAGTACTTAAGGATATTTCTGTCTTAATCCTTCCTTCGTGGTCTGACACTGGCATTATTGGCGTTGTATATTCTTTAAGTAATGAAGAGAGTAGCTCACCGCAGTGCAGCATTGCGTTCACTAGCGATTCGTTCACTGTAGGATATACAAACAGCTCAGGCTGTGAGTTTTTATTGTGTACCTGGAGATAGCTTGCCAGCCGCATGAAATGGTATTACATCTTTTAATCTAACACAAGGAAGCGATGTTTAGAACATTAACTGATAATGTTTAGTTATCCGAGAATGTTAAGAACATTAATTGACAATGTTTAGAATAGTAACTGTGAAACAACACGATATTACATTAACAGTAATACCTGTTTAATTAAAGATTGGTTAAAATACATGTTGCTAACACGGGGAAAATAAATTCAGGAATAAGGGGTATTAATAAAGAACACTCTACTTAAGTTCCTCATCCGAGCAGAAATCAATAAGAAAACTTTACCTATATTCTATCTTTCTATTCACTTGAATAATTGGATATTCGAACTTGGGTCTGAAAATTACGAGACTATTGAATACCAACCAACCCATGGATGCTCGCAAAAAAGGAAGGGTCTAACTGGAAGAAAACTGAGATTTTAATCCTTCTCTGGAACACCATTAAAGTATGTGGAGGTAATCTATTACTTTTTCCATGTCTTATTGCAACAAAGCTGTTTATCTATTGCATTATTGACCCAACAAATATCATAAATTGCTAATATGTTGCAAAATTGGATATAATATATATATATATATATATATATATATATATATATATATATATATATTATATATATATATATATGCAACAACTGATGTGTGATGCTGGAAACCGAGTATGAGAGAATATATTTCATTACTTTATATATTTCTTAGGCAACAATTCATATGGTCAAAAAAAAACGGGTGGTGATCAATTTCTAATCAAAACGGTTTCTAGTACATACAATATTTAGCATTAATCTATCCTAGCGCATCAGTTTACAAAGTTATGTTCCTTCCAGGGAACACGAAAAAGTTACGCAAACACTTACGAACCTGTACATCTTTTCTCAATCTTTAGCGGCTTTGTTTACAATTATTAAACAGTTAATGAGCTCCGAAGCACCAGGAGGCTGTTTATAACAATAACAACAATTGATTGGCAAGTTTTCATGCTTGTAAACTGTTTAATAAATGTAACCAAAACCATCAAAGATTGTGGAAAGATGTACACGTTCGTAAGTACTTGCGAAACTGCTTCGTGAATCTGACCCTGGCAGAGCATCAGTTGAACTTTTGAGCTTAAAGCTTTTCACTCATTATCTTCCGGTCAAAGATATATTCTGCCAGCTCAGCTCCTTCTCCAATGTAGTTGAGGGACAAGTCGTCGTAGGCCTTGAGAGCTCCCTGCAACTTGCGAACACCTTCGTGCTGTTCCCCCAGGATAGAACTGGTGAACAGATCAGCTGCATGATAGTCTTGGACGCACTCACTCACCACGTTGTAAATCAGATTGGTCACCTAAAAAACACAATATAAAGTGGTTATAGTTGCGTACTGTAAAAGTCTAATTCGGTAATATCAACCATTTTGACATTTATTGTTTGGTATATAATGTTGTTTATTCTTTAAACCTGTCCTCGTAGTTCATGTCACAAGGACGTGCCTGATAGCACGTCTGTGGAATGACGACGATTAAGAAAAAGATAATATTGTGAGATCAAAAGTGGCTGATTATCTTTCAAGGAAAATGTTTATGAATTTTGGGGTGAAATTAGAAAAAGAAAAAACAACATATTACGACATATATGACTTGGATAAATAATTTACCGTAAATTTATATAAACAAACCCAACTATAAATGCACAAAAGGAGCATTTATGAATACATTTATGATTGATAGATTGAGAAAGTATGGGCTCAAATCTGGGGCCACATGTGCCAAAATCTCTCTCATTTTGTGGTGTACAGACGCCTGACTAATATTTTATTGAGATTACTAAAGGCTCTGTTTATATCTGCCAGCCTTATACATTCTGTTGAAGCTCTGTTGTACTGAACTGTTTTATTTTAAGTATTAATTAATTGGCTTTATTCAATATATACCCTTTCTACTAATTACCTACTGTATCGTGTTCTAATGTATACTTTTAAATAATAATAACAACAATATTTTTAGCTTTGATACATCACGTGTGTGTTTTAATTATACATATTGAATTTGTATCAATATTTCTCTCCTAGCTTTGTCTTTCTTGAGTCCTTCCCAACTTATGAAAATGGAATACTGGGTTATTATCATGATGAGTAACATATTATTACAAGTTTAAGACTAGCTGAACTTTAGACTAGATGTGCTAGACTAGAAAAAGTAGTTACCACGTTAGCTGACAAGACTGATGTCGAGAAATGCATACTTTCTTAAGAGGCATTTACATACCAAGAAAAGTAAATACCTCTTAAATGTCTAGTTAATTCTTGGGTCGAAATAATTTCAAATACTTCAAGACACTTGATCCTATCTTGTAATAAATTGTATAGTCAATGATATAGAAATACATTCCTATGGTTCAATATCAACTCACTTGAATTTCCATGTTGATCGCTTCCTCTAAAGCAGACCTATATGTCATGTTCTGGATTTCCTGGGTCAGCTGAAAATGACACGTGGAATTATTTCACATTGTATAATGTATAACATGTATAATAAATTAAGAGGGGGGAGGATGATTTAGAAAATGAATCTTCATGAAAAATATGCAAATTTTACTTATATTTTATCAGTTGGTCACTGTTTCTATTGCCAGGGAATGTATGTGACTTATTAAGGGTCAATTATTCCATAGATAGACTATGCCATAGATTTAATACCGTGTGGAGGAAACTGTAGCAATGTCCAAGCTTCAACAGTTTCGGTAGATAGAGCTTTTGGAACACCCTATTACTCTTTGGCAGAAGATAAATTTCCTGTTGCTTGCCCTGCAATGTGACTTTGCAAGCTTACAACTCCTGTTCTTTTTGGTAGCTGTTGCATTAGACCTCTTGAAGAAGAGGTTGGAACCAACATTAGTTTGTGGCTGTATTTTGCTCAATATCTTAACATTGTGAGGCAAACCCTGCCCTGTCTTACGCTGAATGGCTAATCTGACTCAGAACGTTGCCTCTGGAATACATCTGTCCTGGAACGTCTCTAGAACCTGTTTACTCCACAGACTTTGATCTGGGACACGATCAGAAGTAAATCAGTCATCGGACGTCACAAGGAGTAAATCTTTTCTCGGACGTCTCTTCTCTGACGTCACCAGGAGTACATCTCCCGTCCTACTGACTCAGACCTCATCTCTGGCCACAGCCTCGAGACATCTCCAGATAGATGCATCTACTTTAATAGTTCTGTCAATCGGTCATAACTCTTATTTCATCTTCCAAGCTGTTTACAGTGGATCGCCTCTTGTAAATATAGAGAATATACACTTTGTTTATATTAACATGTATTTCTATACCCCCATTTGCATGGAAATTTTCGTTAGGATTATAGACAAGTTATATTCCAATGTATTGTCTTTTCGCAAAATGGGAACAAAGTGTATCTTCAAAATCCTTTAGAATAGCAAATAATTGGGAAGTAGAAACATACAGTGGCATTAGACAATATCTATATTCACAATAGTTAAAAGAAGTATCGAATGGTAAACAGCTTACGGGACAAAACCATATATTTATAGCCTATGGACAAGGAATGTGTAAAAGACATTGTTTGCAGCCATTATTATTATTGTTTACCATTGCAATAGCTCTTAAGTTTTAATAAAAGAACCTAACGACTGAATATTTAATACAAATCATTAAAACAAAACGGTGTATATGGCATAAAGCCTGAGCAACTAACCTGACTATCAAACGGAAACACATATGTAAAGCTGGGTGTAAGCTTTATGCCTCGCATGTTGAGGTAGTCCATCATTTGGATAGCGTGGCCTCGTTCTTCTGCTGCAGCTTCCATCAGGAAATGGGCGATACCTGGCCTGTCTTCGGTGAACTGGGCAAACTTGGCACCCTAGACGAGGAGAGAAAGTGCAGTATTTCATGACTATTACAAGTAGGACTAAGCACCTGTCTTAGGTCATGTGTGAGTTTGGACATTTGCTTCAGTCGCGTTATTGCGATTTGTTCCCCGAAGACTAAACTAATGGAAACATTGCATAGATCACACGCACGTACATCACACGCAATATACTCCTTTGTCAATTTATGGAACAAAAATTACCGTGTAACGTGGTTATCTTGAGGTTATCTTGAGATGATTTCGGGGCTTTAGTGTCCCCGCGGCCCGATCCTCGACCAGGCCTCCACCCCCAGGAAGCAGCCCGTGACAGCTGACTAACACCCAGGTACCTATTTTACTGCTAGGTAACAGGGGCATAGGGTGAAAGAAACTCTGCCTATTGTTTCTCGCCGGCGCCTGGGATCGAACCCAGGACCACAGGATCACAAGTCCAGCGTGCTGTCCGCTCGGCCGACCGGCTCCCGTGGGATTGTTGGGATCCAATCCATCAATCCCGTTTGGGATTGTTGGAACAATCCCAAACGTGGGATTGTTGGATTGTTTGAAGCCAAAGTTAGGCATATTTGAATGCGTTTGGTCGCGTTAAATTGGTTCTTACGTTTCTTATTAGGCAAATCTGTTGGATTTTGACGTTTCTAGTTAAGCAAGTTAGTCGCATTTTTTACGGAGTAGCACATCAAGAAACGCGTTGCTGTATAAACAGGAGCTGCCTCGCATGGGTCAATAGAAACGTCAACAGTTTCATTAATTTTAATGTTCTATTATCATTGGTCAATGGCGTCGGGGCAGCCCATGATATGCTCGTGATCAAAACCGAGAAGACGTACTTAAATGCAATGTTTCCACCACGTTTTCTGTATGAACTTAAATGTAATGTTTTCAACACATGTAGGTTATATTACTTAAATTCTCACTATAGGGTACATGTACTAAAATGTAATGGTCTTACCATGTACATGTACTTGAATGCTGCATCTAGCTCATGTTTGATGTGGCCATTAATAGCATCAGCACACTTCTGGGTGAAGCAAACTGCTTTTGGGAAACCTGCAAGGGAAATATATATCAATTAACAGATAATAAGAGATTATGCAGTAATTCATTACATTTTTACATCAAATTACATTTAAAAATGATGAATGCAATTACCCTGAGTCGCAAAAGACTACTTATTTTTTTTTAAAGACTTTTTTTTAAAGTCTTTTAAACTTTAAGTTTTTTTATAAAGACTAAAGACTCATTTTAACTTAAAGGAAAGTGGAAGTTGCAAGCTGGCGCTGCATATGCCAGTGTTGAACTCACGGATGTTGTGTATCGTGGATGATTCCTTGGAGGAGATTTTTGAAGGCTACTCAAGATCTTATCAGTGTTTGTGTGTGTGTGTAAGCAAGGACATGTGCATACTCACCTAGTTGTGCTTGCGGGGGTTGAGCTCTGGCTCTTTGGTCCCGCCTCTCAACTGTCAATCAACTGATGCACAGATTCCCGAGCCTACTGGGCTCTATCATATCTACACTTGAAACTGTGTATGGAGTCAGCCTCCACCACATCACTGCCTAATGCATTCCATTTGTCAACCACTCTGACATTAAAAAAAAATTCTAATATCTCTGTGGGCTCCTTTGGGCACTCAATTTCCACCACAATTGTGTAATTACCTAAGTAATTGTGTGTGTGTGTGTGTGTGTTAGCAAACAGAGACAGAAGTATTTACTATTTGTATTTAGCAAACATACACCTACATAGGCGTATTTACATTATGAAACCAAATCTCATATTTACCAATATTACGTTCGCATTGGAATGCTTCATTCGTTGTCTGGGCGGCCGCGAACCCTGTTGAGCAGGAAAAAATAATTATATAATTTATTGATATCCCAACCCCTCTCACACAGGCACAATTCATTGCTGTCTTAAGTATATAATAAATCTAGAACACAAATATATGAATTATATCAGTACACCTACCGAGATTTTAATTTCACATTCGCAAAAATATATGTAGAACTAATAATGGCTTTGAATGTAATCTATGGGTATCCTGCTAATCTTCAAATTGGGTAATTTCTCATTATCCGAATTGTGGGGTTCAGTCCCTGAGCCCATTATGTGCCTCTGTAACCCTTTCCACTACCGCCCACAAGATGGGTATAGAGTACATAAAAATAAACTAAACTAACTCATTATCTTCATTTCCAACTGCGAATGCATTCTTCAAAATGTTCATTTTTACGATATGATCAAAATAATTCAATGCGAGTAAGTTATTGACATATAAAAATGCATCATCAATTTTTTATTTTATATAACAAATGTCTGACATGTGTAAAACTATTATTAAGCAATATTTTCTCAACGGGCAAAAAAAGAAAATGAGAAAATATAAAAGGAATAGTGCCCAAGTGATTGAGTACCATTCCAATCCTCCGTCCTATCCTAAATCCTTATCTTCGAATCCCTTTCTAGGGCTATATAGACGTAATGGCTTAGCGCTTCCTCCTGATAATTACCTTACTCAATTATAAATGTACAATCATTTATGAATAACAGTTTTGATTTGATTTTATCCAGAGTAGGAAATAATTTATTGATACAAACATTTGTAGTTTTAATCAAGTTAATTGTAAACTGACTCAAAGATTATAAATCTCAAAGAGATTATAAATCCTATGCAAAAACTCACTGGTCAGAATTGTGGTATCTATGATAAAACTGGGCAGAATATCTTACATTATTTTTGGGGATTTCTAGCTAACTATCCACCCCGTCCTCACGAGTTCTCACAACCTAATAAAAATATATTCTAAATTGCCCGAATTGAACCGACGATCAACGAATGAAAAACGTAAATGGCCATCAATGTTCACATTTATTAAAATTTATAATATACATATGCAAGGTGCAAAATATAAAATATCAATCAAATATAACTGGTTGAACGCCGATGTTATTTGTTTAGCTTAAAACACATTGGGATATCCAATTTAATCGACTTGAGAATGGTCCAGAACGGACCGAAACATCGTCGTCCCTTCACCTTCTAGTGTGTGGTCTGGTCAACACTGGGATCCAAATCCAGAACCCATTATGGGACTAACACCTTTCCCGCCACATCGCGCAAGACGGGTACTCGTTAATTGCATTAAACTAAAAGGTCATACAGTATGGTAAATGACCATTAAAATATATCAAGGCGGACAAGTTACTAACCTAGAACCAAAAGCCAAACTTGGGCGCGGAGAGCCATGATGGATGAAGGTCTCTGAGTGAGGATCGTAGAGTGTATCTTTGGATATACGAGATGTTAAACTGCTTCTTCGCTGAGTAGTGATAGCGGTCGAAACTTGTAGCGATATCTGGCCGGGTCAGTAATGAAGGGACGGTGATGAAGAGTCGAGGAAGAGGATCGTAGAGATGACTACGGCACTACACTGAGTGCGCGATAGCTCTGCTCTGACGATGTGTGAGATACTGAGGCCCGGGGCCTGGCGAGTCGACCAGCAAAGCTCACATGAAGGACGAAGTTGCAAAGCAGCGCTCTTTTATTACAACGCTGCTAAGTTATTCACTCTCAGCTCCCAACCCTTACACTATCCTCCTTCAACTGTTAACAAGAAGCAATTGATTGTTGCCGCAACAACGGCACGTGTAAGTATGATGCAAGGGAGCAATTAATATCTGACTAGAGTATCAACCTGGTTCAGGGTAATACATTTGGATCCAAGACTTCATTTGAGAAGATTCTGAATTTGCCTCCTGAGTGAGAAAGAAATGAGTTATTTGGAATCTTATAGAATAAGCTCCTTATGCTTCTAACTAGTATGATCTTCTAACTAGTATGATGCTTCTAACTAGTATCCAGTGGAGGATATGTCACCTTCGATCTACTTATATTGTTATAACTACCACAAAGTTTTCGGGAAGACTTACCTGAAGTGAACTGAAATTCACTGTATATGTCAACAATTATTCAAAAGCCAGACCACAACAGCCTGTAAGAACTACACACTAACCTCCTAATTCAGGTCATGCAAAAGGGTCTCCTTTACACGTCGGACTATTCGCTAACTTTGCTGAGCTGTTTTGGCTCTTGAGAAATCAAATCCCGTATCAATGGAAAAAAAATGAGAGACGGGAATACCGCATATCCTAATAGACAGAAATTGACAAGACAAAAAATACAATAATTCATTTTGTCGACAATAGGCCAGCCCGTCCTCCTAAGATTTCTCAATGTCAAGACACTGTTGTACTTAAGTGCCCTTAACCTAACCTACCAGAGGACCCAAAACAGAAAACGGGACAGTATGTCAATTTCGCGAGCCGCTACCATTTAGTACGACAATTTTTGGCCTTAGGTAGAGTATACGTCAAAATGCAACGTTCTATTGGAGGACAGGTTGGACATCCAGCCTGTTAGGTTATATCGAGGTCCCCCCCCAAAGTCGAATTACTGACCCTCACCAGGATGCAACCCCACAATAAGCTTATTAACTTATTAACTACCTATTTACTTCTAGGTGAACAGAGGCATTAGGTAACAGGAAACGTGTCCAATCATTTCCCAACCCGTCCTCGACTCAAGTCCATTACATCCAGCGGTCGACCCAACAGACGCATTCATAAATCTTTACATGCAGTTCATTGAAAACAGGAATTTTCTTAAATATAAATTAATATTATATTAGCATATTGTGCATATATAGGCATAGGTTAGGTTAGGTGTTTGGGTTCTGTTGGCGATTATTTGTATTTGTAATACGTGGGTGAAGCATTTACAGCGTTGTGGTTCGAACAAAATTCGTCATTGAAGCACTTGTTCCGGAAATGTTGGAACGAAATCAGTTGTGAGTCGTGTGTAAACCGTTTGTCATTCATGAACAGGGGGTTTGGCGGGTGCATGGAATCACTTTTGGGTCTTTGTTTGGAGGACGGGCTGCATTTCTGTACCGCCCGGGATTCGAACCCAATTGAGAGCCGAGAACGAACCTTGGTAGTATTGGAGGAGGTAAGAGCAGCTGTTTTGATTGTTATAGCTGAAAGCGGCTAGTTTATTGTTCACCCCCATACTTATCCTGTGATCGGTAGCGCAAAAAGGATTACAGAGGGCTCAAAAGGTCTCAATCAAACTTCCACAGAGATATTTACATTACCAATTACATCTAACCAGCACACCTTATGATTATAATGTCAGCAAAGTTAGTTACAACAAAAAGTCATTTCACTATTTATGTATTTACAATATATATTAATTCATAATATACATTGATCAGTTGTGGATGAGTTCGGGAGTTCGGGAAAACCCTGAAGGAACACATGAAATAACAAGAGATATACTGAGAGGCTGAAGTGACGTTGGTATACACAATTTGAATAACATATTCATCATATTCATAATATTCATGGATATTGTGGAAGCAGGGAGAAGACTGAACCATAGAAAGAGTATCTTTCTACAAGGACAAGTGTTGCATAAGGATAATACAGCTGAATAATGAACAAATATTCCCCAAAATAGAGTTGTACAGCTTGGTTTAGTTCAATAACTGTGCACCCGATACCCATCCTGTAACCGGGAGTGGAATGATTACAGATGCACATATTGGGCTAAGGAACTAGATTCCAAAATTCATTTAGCTAAGCTAGTTACAGAGTGTAATGATTAAATAAACAATGGGTTACTTGAAGGCAAACAAAATCAAATCAGTATCAACATGCAACGGATCTGTTGCCCAGTATTAATTGCGAATATTAATAAGACATTTATAATCAAGGCGTCGACGAAACAGGATATCAAGTTAAAACGGGGGACTCCCTGAGACCAGGCAGTACCTGGTCTTGTAAATATGGCAGTCTGGGCAGGGACGCCCTGGGGACTGGGGCGTCCCTGCCCCAGTCCCTGGGCAGAAAGGGAAGAGGGAACGCCAGCGGGCGGGCTGCAACCAGACTGAACCTGAGTCTGTATTGTACTGTCTGTGATTGATGCAGACACTTAGCTAATTGTACTAGCCTCATTGTGCTTGAGGTGGGCGAGTCCCGCCTCTCAAGCTTCCATCGATTGGTTCTCGGACTTATGGACTCTTTGTCATATCTACGCTTGAAGCTGTGTTTGGAGTCAGTGTCCACCACTACTTCTTTACTGCCTTTGTACACTATTCTGACAACTGACAAAATCTTTCTGAAGCCTTTCTGGTTAATTTGGATATTTAGTTTCCACTGTTCTTGTCTGTTCTGTCTTTGTTACACTGTTCTTGTCTGTTCTGTCTGTGTTTCTGAAAAAAATCTGTGGTAATCAGGTCTTCTCTGGCTCTTCAGCCTTCCGGTGGCATGAGGTACAATTCCTTGTCTTTTTGTTTTCCCTCGTAACTCATACCTTTCAGCTCTAGTTTGGCGGTATATATCTGGACTTTCGCAAGCTTCGATTATTGTTAATAAGACTTGGATTCCACGCTGGAGCCTCATATTCCATTATTAGTGTGTCATATGTAATATACAATGTTCTGAATGATTCCGTATACAGATACTTCGTATTTGTATACGTATACAGATACGTATACTTCGAGAGACGGGGCCGGTGTGATATCAACCTTCATGTCTTTTTCTCTGACCAATTACAGGATTTCGTTACTTTGTACTTGCCTGAGTTAAACTCTACTGTAGTGTCCAGTCGTTTTACCACCCAATCATTTCTTGGAGTGTTTCATTGTATTTTTGCTCCTCACAAATCAAGAACACTATAGGTCCTAGCATTGACCCCCTTGCAGGATTTTGTTGCATGGTTGCCTCTCGCTACTGGCAATAGTAGTTGTGAGTTATTGTTATTGCGCTGGTTGTGGTGACACTGGTTTGAAATGTTGTGACAATGTTGACAGCTGTGACGTATTACGATGATGGTGGTGGCTATATGAGATGTTGCGCCAGTGGTGGTCGTGATGTGTTGATGAGGCTGGGGGCCGATGTTTCAACAACAGAGATTGGGATGTCAAAGTCAACAACTTCGAGTTCTCCAGCCTCGAAGTTCATCCCGTTGTCGCAAAACTCTGACTTGTGGGTATATGAACGAGGTGTGAATCGAAATCAATCTATCCTCCTAAAAGGATAGTACTTATAGCAACTATTTGGTCGAATGTACCGGCGATATGTACCCTTGGACCCCCAAAAAGTCCCGTTTTGCATTATTAATTTATAAAGTCCGTGAAAAAATAAAAAATCTTAAACATCCGTAGGCATAATATAGCATGTATATGTATTAATTAGGTCTATGATAGTATGTATTAAGCCTAGGATTCTTCAACGGGTTAGGGTAGGTTCTTTATGCAGACGAGAAGTCACAATAACGTGGCTGAAATATGTTGACCAAACCACACACTAGAAAGTGAAGGGACGACGACGTTTCGGTCCGTCCTGGACCATCGACTTGAGAATGGTCCAGAACGGACCGAAACGTCAACAATAGGTTCTTTAGTTACATTTCAGATTAAATAGAATGCCAGTTAATTCAGTAACACAAAACGTGAACGATTTGGAGGTCCAACAGTACGCCTTGCTACATTCGACCAAATAGTTGCTATAAGTACTATGATCTTCTGTATTTATACCGTCATTTCAAGGGCCACTTCTAAATGACAACTCTGGCGGTGGCGCACGTAAACCAACTGAAGTATACTTTCAGTGTACTAGTAATAGTAAGAGCTCCAGTGTAGTCCACACCGATAAACTCAAATGGTGCAGAATGGACCACTCGCCACCCCTCTGAGAGCCGGAATGGACCACTTGCCCCTCTGAGAGCCGGAATGGACCACTCGCCCCTCTAAGAGCCGGAATGGACCACTCGCCCCTCTGAGAGCCGGAATGGTCCACTCGCCCCTCTGAGAGCCGGAATGGACCACTCGCCCCTCTGAGAGCCGGAACGGACCGGGATCCACTTGTGGCCATCCTGTCACCGAAAAGTTCTACACTTTCTCACTAAAGTGTATAGTAATTGTTTATCTTGTGCAATCTAGCTATTGTGCCTTGGGGTGACCCGGTCTCCAGTGCCGCTTCCACTATGAATATGAAGTCGTGTGAGTCTTAGGGTATGTTAACCCAATGAACTTTATGAAGGAGTAGAGTATGATCGGAGAGAGAAGGTAATTGTGCATAACGACGCATTCATACACATCTTATTAGTCCACTGCCATAGAGTCCCAACTTCTTACTCGGTTCAAGTTTCTTAATGGTCGTAGACAAAGTTGGAGGGTCAAAAAATGTATTAATTTATTTCATTAAGAATATCGCTTAATTACGTCTCAATGGCTGGGTTATAACAAGGATCTGTGATTGTTGTGGTAGAGGACATCACTGGCACGAATATTTTAACATAAGAATAGATGAAACTGAAGAGGGCTTATTGCTTCATGCGAAGCTGCTAATTTGAACAATTAACCTTGGATCTTCATTCCAAAATATGCATATTTTAAATTGACGAAAGGGCATGGCCCTTGCCAGTAAATATACCGAATTGTAGATGAGGAGTCACAATAACGTGGCTGAAATATGTTGACCAAACCACACACTAGAAAGTGAAAGGACGACGACGTTTCGGTCCGTTCTGGACCATTCAAGTTGGTTGTGAGAATCGACTTAAGAATGGTCGATTCTCTAGTCGATGTTAATGGTGTAAATGGATTTTTATAGAGTACATATCATGATTTCTTACAAAATCGTCAAATAGGGAGACCTTTGACAAACCGCGGCTTCCTGTCCTCGTCGACACTAGATAGGGGACCCTCAGGTAAATTTAGGTAAAGGGAAATATAATTATATATTATTTTTGTTCTTATAATAATTTTTTAAGATATTCTTGCAGAATATACCCTTAGCACGTGTGAAGACTTCTCACCTGTGATCAGCTTATATCCAGCTTTTACATACCTGTGTGGACACTCATTACATCACCGTATTGCAAGTTCTTTACATGCTCTACAGGTTTGGTGTGTGCGCGCGCGCGTGCTCAAGGCAATAGTTATATGAGGAAGCTGTAGCCTAGCGGGGCTCAGTACCTTGTCATCGCCAGCCAGGACCACTGTAGCACACTCAGTGTAGTGTCGCAGTAATCTGGCTCCATCTCCCCTCCTCCTTGCCATCATCAACAGAATCCCTTGAAGATCAATCTGCCGGGACCTTCACTTCAGTCATCTGTAACCACTAGATAGATCATCTACACTTCAGACTTTTCGCTCCTAATACTCACAATTAAGCCTGCCCAAGACTTTTTCCCCAAACGCCACGTCTGCCTCAACGGTGGGTACACATTACTATTTTATACATTAATATAAATTGTAACTAGCGCTCACCGGAGCTCCGGAAGCACTGCCCCATTGGATAGGAGTCAAAAGTAATTATCAAAGAAGGCACCAAGCCGGGAAGGCTATGTAGCACCATCAGGAGTCAGAAGTCATCTGCTTCTATACCTGAATATACTAATATAAATATAAATATCGGCGGTTTACATTTCTTAGCAAGTTTTCGCCTATCAAAACTAACATCTGGAATTTTGCTAAGTTAGGTAGCTAAAATTTTTCGGTATATAGCCAGGTATAGTTGGGTATAACTATATACACATCCGGGTCTTTTTCTTGGGGGGGGGGGGGTTCACTTTCAATTTGGTTATTTTAATGTTTTAACCTCTGAATTATTTTTGAGTGTTGCCGGCAGTCAGTAGCGGTTAGTTTGTGTACCATGTGCTCATCCTGTGAGCTGTAGTTTGTTGTGCACCCCATAATTATACTGTGAGTGGTAACGCAAAAAGATAACCCTAACATTCTGAATCTATTTTAGTGATACTTAAATGTATTCTGATTCTATTTTAGTGGTACTTAAATGTATTATGTATGTTTAGATCAAGTTCAAGTATGTTTATTGAGACAAGGAAGAAATACATCTCAATGGGATAGAGTAACTTAGGCTATTTCTACCCCCCTACGTGTCTAGATCATGTCCTCTTTATTTACCATTTGTGCAAGCACGCATATATATATATTTTTTTTTTAGTATTTAAAACCACATCGTTTGGTTGTCAAGAATTTTGTTTAAAGTTTGCATTGCCATTTACAGATGCGTCTGTTACTTGTCAACGTGTGTGTCATTTTGTTGACATGTGCTGTCATCAAGGCGGACAATACGGCCGACAAAGAAACCTTGGCCAAACATGACGCCGTGCTTAGCAGTATGTATTCTACTCTCTTGTACTAAACTGTATCGTACACACACTCACTCACTCACAATGTAACTAAATATATAATATAAATGGTTATGACCCAATTAAAACAACTCTTGTCATGAACAAATCCACAAGGGCCGTGACGAGGGTTCGAACCCTTGTTCGATCAAGCCCAAGTACAGGCTTTCTGTCCCCAACAATGGGAATTTAACAAAAATAGCCACAGGTACAACATAAGCATTCCTAATACAAAATGAGGAGGGTATACAAAAGAACTGTTGTTTCCAATCGAGTACCAGGTATGACTGATACTTGGGACAAATACAGTGGTCATAGAAATTATTTTCAACAAACCTCTTGCTCTCTTCTTGCTGGGGTTTGATTCTTGAGTGGGGTTGAAAGGTACAGCACATACAGGTACATAGTACTGTATGTACAGCACTGCATACACTGTTGTACATTTGAATTTCAACACCATACAACCTACACATATTCCAATCAGCTACAGTATTTACAACATTTTGAAGCATATATAGTTGTTAATCATCCAAGATTGCTGATGTGATACTCAACATATGACATCATCTTTTTACACTTAAGACAATTTAAGTATCACTAGTCTATGACACAAGTACAGTAAATCATTAAATATCTTATAATAAATTTATTCTTATATTTAACCTCCACAAGCAGATACAGGTCTATGATAATATAATTTTCAAGATGTATTTTTCTCCTACACTTCAGGAGTTAAGTCTTCATTCTTGAAGAACAATAACAACATCAGGCTACTGATACAACTCGTCCAAGAGCATTTTGACAACTCCCTCAAATATCTGTTTTCTGTAAGTTGCATTTTAATCTTTTAATACCCAAATCAGAAATTTAATATACCCTGTTCTTTGTTTTTTCTTCTATAAAATTGACTGGACTTCACGTTTTGCTTCAGTGTTAGAACAGATTATAAAAAGCATACTTTCAAGCAGGTTAGAGTTATCGGTAAACACGGTACTCGTCTAGTTGTGTTTGTGAGGGTTGATCCCTCACTCACAACTGAGGGATCAGAGTTCAATTCCTGAGCAGGACAGGAACAGCTGGGCATGTTTCTTTTCACTTACCTGGGACCTGGGAATTAAGCAACTGTTGTAGGTTGCAGCCTGAGAAAGATCAGAAGTTGGTCTAGTAGAACCTCGATAAACCTAAGTACTGCACAGGCATCCTGTCCCTGACAATGGGAATAAAATAAAAAGACAGTACAGTATCTCTGTACCCAAAGTCAGTATTCACTTTTATTTCGTATGTGTGAGTTGGTTTATTTGTTTCAGTCACATTAACGAGACATTCTCTGCTTACTTGACGGGTGTTTATGGGGCATAAGAAATATACAGTATGTGTTTAGCAAGGTCAAAACGAGCCAAAAGCAAACTTGGGGGATTGACTGTGGATGTTTCGAAGATCTTGGATGGTTGAGATGATATCAAGTGAAAAATTGAATTAACTGCATTGAAGATGCAAATGAGGCTTGGAAATAATGTAGGAATTAATTATCTATAGAAGCACATCAGAGTGTTGGGTGCATTGATGGTAGCTATGTGGAAAATACATGGCTAAAGATGTTAATGCAACATGAACAAAATTTGCAGCTACCATGGCACTTCTGTCGCTATAGAATACAAGGGTCTCTCTTACACTAGGGTGTGTATTTCTGATGTGGACACAGGGATAAGCCCTTCTACCATGAGTAGCTGCCTAGTCGAGACATACACGGATGCACGCTGTGATGAATGTGCAATGGAACTGACATTTAATTACTTTTAACTTACCCCCAGAGCAAGCAGTATGGAAGTCAGTATGTAGAGCGTCCTGGTCTGGCCAAATATCTATTAGAGGCAAGTGACAAGCAATGGAAGAATGCTTTTGATGTCCTAAAGAAGTTCCTTCAGCGTGGTGGTACCTTTGAAGATGGTAATTTTATCTTTAATGTCACAGGAAAGGTATGTACAGTATACAATTTATATTTTAATATTTATATTTTTGTTGTATTTTTAGTTATGTTATTTTAGGCAAGCACCTTTCTACTGTAAAATTAAGTAATTGAAGAAATAATGGGAGAGAAAATGAGTAGTTATAATTTATTTTGTGATTATAGATGGATGCCAAGATATTAAGATTATTAAGAGACTGTCCTTACTAATTTTGCCTTTATATCTGGTGCCCAATCTTGTAAAAAAAATAAAAGGTAGTTACAGAAGCAAATATATTAATTGTTTACAAAAATGTTAGTCAGGCTTACGTAGAAAAATGGAGGTAAAAATTTTTTTTGGAGTGTAATGAAAAGATAAATGTTAAGAAGTTTTGGCCACATATTCAAGAACCTTTGAATTCATGAAAGCAAGTCAATTACTTTTATAAATAAAAGATCCTAAGCCCCCATTTCCTATTTTTCCTGTGCACCATACTAGCTATTATGAATGGGCAACGTCCATGAAATAATACAGAGATCATGTATCTCTGACATTTTTTATTATGCATATTTGATAACTTTGGAGGTTTCAGTAGTGAAGCAATAGTAATCTTAGTGTCTAATCTAATGTATTAGATTACGGACTGTATTTAAGAGATCACAGATAAAATTTGTCAAGACTGTGTTTGTAAAGATGTTAATCTTTAAATATGAATTGTGCATGTATACATTTAAGTATGTCAAAAGAAGGCACCACACCAGAAAGACTATCACAGGGCATTCAAAAGTTCTTAAATGGGTCTCGGTAGTACAGTTGGGTTCATTCTCGACTCACAACCAGGAATTCTGGGTTCGAATCCCAGGCAAGATAGAAATGGTTGGGCATGTTTTCTATCACCAAATGCTTAGGTGTTTACCTAGCAGTAAATAGGTACAAAGGAGTTAGTCAGCTTGGTTTAGAGTTGCATCCTGGGGAGAGTCAGTGGTTCAACTTTGGGGGCCCTCAATATAAGCCTAACATGTATATATATACCAGGCTGCCTGTCCTTGACAAAAACAATAGAAAATATGTGTATGAATGTAATTAACCAACAGTTTTGTGATACAGATATAATATTTTCCATTAAATTTCTTCAAGGGTGAACTTTCTTTGTACGAAACTGCGGACATCAGCGACAGATATGTGAGCACGTTGAGAAATGTTCTGGACGATTCTCTGAACTTATCCAAGAATTTGAACAAGCTTTACCTAAAAACATTTAAAAATCAAACAAACTTTGGAGATCTGGAGGTAAAAAAACAAAGCTTATTTTACATACTTTCTTAGGGTAAAAGTAAGAACTAAATAAAATTTATGATTCTGCATTTAAATAAAAATTGCCATCTTTGTTGGGTACTTAGATGTATATAAAGGCAAGGCATTTTGGATATACTGTAGTTCTTACTGAATGATATTCATTCTTAGTATATATAACACATGGAAGGTGAAGGGACAACAACGTTTCGGTCTGTCCTGGACCATTCTCAAAACAATTGACTTGAGAATGGTCCAGGGCGGACCGAAACGTCGTCGTCCCTTCACCTTCTAGTGTGTGGTCTGGTCAACTTACTTTAGCCACGTTATTGTGACTCATCGCCTGCATATAACGCATGGAATAAGGTACAGTATTCATGTATGATAATGTGTGGCAAACCTTTCTTGATCTTGGGGATTAGACAAAATGTCAAAACCCACAGAGAAATTTAGCAAAACCAATTATACTACAATACTAGTATATCAATTTTGATAAAAGATTTTGGAATGATAATGAATTTATTATGACACCATATTTGCCAAAAGTTCTTTCAATTTTATGTATAGCAAGAGTTGTATTTTTTACTGTATTCTTAAACTTTTTAAGTTTTACTCTTTAAAAGATGGGGAGGGTGCGCGCGTGGAGATGGGGAGGGAGGTGTGCCCATAGAGATGGGGAGGGGGGTATGTGCACATTGAGATGGGGAGGGTGTGCATCAGAAGTCTGGACACAGGGTTGACCTGGTCACAACCAGGTGTCCCATCTATATTACTATAAATAAAACACCCTTATCTAATTAATCTGGCCTAACCAATCTCCCCAAAATATTGTGCACTGGCCCCCCAGCAATCGACAAACATATTAATTTTGAAATAAACATACTTTAATTTTCAGTATGATAGAGCTAAAAATCAATAAAATATATTGTCAGCTCCGGCTACAGTTAAACTTGAGTTTTAGTACTGCAATATAACGTTCAATATATATTGCAAATATATCAGGAAGCAAAATCTCATTAAAAAGTTTGGCAGTCCAATAATTTAACCGGAGTTTTATATACATGAATACAGTATATTTGTCAAATGTTCGTTATTCACAATGAAACATTGTAATGAATCATTTGCTGTATTCAACCGATTTCTTAAGTTTCAATTAGCTCTCTTTATTCAGTTGTGCTGAACTGTTTTACTCTTAACTCCATCTGTTTTTTTTAATTTTGTAGATATCCCATTATTTGACCGACAAGCTTGAGGAAGAGGCAGAGCGTACACGTGAACTGGCCGGCCATGTTGTTACCCTCCAGAAGATGAACAGCCTTGGTGTGGCTCTCCACCTGTTTGATTCCCACTTTTAAATTTTGTATTCCTATTGCTCCGATTCTTTATTCCAGACTTGGAAGAACTATGCTGCCATGTATATTATTTTTATTTTTTTTGAGGTCATTATAGTTATCATTTCATTCAATCTTATTTACATGGAAATTCATGGCACAAAAGTTGCATCTGTTTTATCAAAGAAATGTATAAGCGGAAAGGAATAAGAAAGAAGCATATGGAATACATGGGATTGTAGAGGCTAGCAATATGTGGGTTGATTAAGAAAATTGTCCTGTATTTCTTTTCCAGCCAGGTCTACATTATTTTGCTTTAACTATTTACTGCAATTATATTGTGACCTCGGTAAATAATTAACAAAGAAATTAATTGCATTATATATATAACTACATACTGATATAGTAGGAAGATGACTGACATCAGCCCGGAGATCAAGGACACACCCCCTTCATTCATGTTATAGTCTGTGCATATATTCATTACTTTGACCCTCTTTACTCCATTGCATTTCTTGATAACGTGCTAATACCGGTACTCGAAAGCACACTGAATTAATATTTTTTGCTTATACAGCATACATAAATATAGCCAGCAAAATATTTAACCTCTCATTATGATACTACATATCTATTGTTAGCATAACTCACCACAGTACATCTAGAATTTGCATATTGTATCATTTATTTGAGCAGGTGTTAAAACATCTACAACTTGACCCTTTTGAGATTTATGACTAAAGTGTTTGTATTTTAATATATGCATTTTTTCCAAAACTATGAAATGCACAAACCATGGCTCCTGTAATATATATATTAATGTTGTACCAATATTAGGACCATAATTCAAACAAGTACTGCACAATACTTTAAAAGATAAATGTTGTTGTTTCTGTATCATTTAGTAATAGTACTAACAAAATCATGGTGTTTTTATTTCATCCACACACAATAAAAACTTTTGGGCTGATCTGCAATAAATATTTATTGATCATGGTGTTTAAAAGCTCCAATACAAATATTGATAAATACATTTAACATAACAACTGATGCAATAATTTATCTTAAACAATTAAGAACAAATGGTATATATGTATGTATAAGATACAGATAAATATATATATATATATATATATATATATATATATATATATATATATATATATATATATATATATGAAAAATACATAATCAACACTATTGACTTCCAACTTAATTCTCATAATACCCCAGTATAGCATAAGCTGGCAGAGGCAGCTTAAAATGTATCTCTGCAGCAGTTGAGCAGATTGTCCACCTGCCTTGACTAAACGTCGACCTGTAACTGTATCACAAGGTTCTCGTCTTGGAAAATAATTTAGTAGGTCAAATTAGTTTTAATAATAACGTACATGTTAAGTAAATAAATGTTACTTTTTTTTTATATTTTCCTTCCTACTGCAAATCCAGTTTACTGGGAATTTCTAAACTATTCAGAAGCCATTTGTATTTTCTTAAATTTGTAAATATATGCACTTACCAGATCAGAATCCTTCCACTGCATCTGATATTTTAGTGTATGGGGTTCTGTTATAGTGGGTTTCTACTACGTTTCTACCTTACAAAATCCAATACTATATTTAGGTTTCTATTGTATGACCTTAAAATATCAATACTGTATTTAGGTTTCTACTGTATGACATTATAAAATCAATATTTATGTTTTTATTTTATAACATTATAAAATCAATATTTAGGTTTCTACTGTATGACATTATAAAATTAATATTCATACATTTCTTTTTCAAATCAACAACTATTCAAGCATCAACGACACAATCAGACCTGCTCCACCATTGCTTTGCTAGACGAGTCCTTTGATACAGCGGTTGATGATGTCCAGTTTTCCAATTAGGACTGTCGATTCTCCTTCTAATTTAACATCTATTTGTTTCAATTCGTTTCCTTCCACTTCTTTAACCGAGAATGATCTGAATACAAAGAATGTTAAATAATGTAAACCCTCGTAATATAGAATTTAATATATAATAAAATATTTAATTTGCAATATACAGTGCAACCTTGAAAATGTAGATTCATGTAATAGGTTCCACACCTATCCTGTTTATAACTCTTCTCTTGACATTGTATTACTTTCACTGCAACCTGTATGGCGATAAAATCAACCAGGCTGCAAGCAGCTGCATCAAACAGTCTGGTTGATCAGATCAGCAACCAGGGAGCCCGGTCAGAGACCTGGTCCTTGACCGGGCCGCCGGGACATTGATCCCCAGAATCTTCAACAGGAAGATGGTCACCTTTTTTCATACTGCTTATGCTATCATGGTCTCTTGTCCTTTGATGAAATTAGTTTTAAATACAGTAAAGTTCATAGAATGCAGTAATTGACACCCCATTGGTTTACAAGCTCAAGTTATAATTACATCACATACATTACATAAATGTTTAATTGCACACTTGAATTGCATTCTATTTCCAAATGCTCAATAACTTACTATACTACACAGATGCATAGATCTCTAACCCTGTCCATTGTGGACAAAATGAAATGTACATCTTGGTTAGCACATTTGATTTATTAATGTAGATAGACTTGTCCTTTCAGAATCATACATATACTTAAATTGCAAAAATAAATAAAAAATTATTTATGCATAAACTAACCTGATTTTCCAGCCATTTTTTTCAGTATCTGTTACCACCATAGGCTCACAAACAGAATTATCTATCTTTTCCTTCTTTGACCCACTTATTCTCCTCCTCTTAGGATAAGCATTATCTTCCAGCAATTTAGAGCCAGTCTCACATTTGAGAGTTAAGAACCTGAACAAAAAGATTAATGATTAGTACACAAAGTTACAATATTTAAACAATATATCTTACTTGTGTGAAGTTTTTGACAAAGAAAGGGCCCGGAAGTGGTAACTTTTGTGTCTCACATAAAACCCCATTAAGGTGCCGAATCCTACAGTGATCAGAACATATCAATACGCATTCAGAAGATTGATAGATACTAACCAAACGACCTCTGTCAAAACTGGCAAACCCCCTAATAATACCATACAAAAAGTAAGACAAGGGATGTGATGATTAACACTCAACAAGTTGAGACATTAAAGTTTTCGTGGAATCTTTATTCACTACTGGGAAGGGAAAGAACTGAATTGACATTTTTTTTTCCAGGGATATTCCTGCACAAGCCCTAAGTCTCTGGCTGGCCCACTAAGTGTTGCTTGTTTCTGTTTACTTGGGAGGAGTATGAGTATTTATGACTTGTATGGTCGCTTCAGTAAGATTTTGCCATATGTGTTTAACAACGTCTTCTGCTCTGTTGAATCTAAGTTGAAATCTTAATGAGTTTGTAACTGTGCACTGTGTTAGTTAATGTTCCAGTGGTCTGTCGGGCATTTCTCCGCAGTGCTGACATTTCCTCTAATCTTCCGGAACCTGTAAGCCTATTTGAATTGGCATTGACCGAGTTTACCTGTGGTTTATCTGTGATCAATTTTGAGTTCCTCAACTATAGCTGCCCTGGTCAAGGCTGGGCTTTTCAGGGGGGATTGCCTAACCACTGAAGCTATTTGTACTAGCAGCCTATGACCACAACCTAACTGATAATACACTATTGCCTAGCAACATCCATATCTATTGTCCTAATGCCCTAATTCTTCCTAGTAGCTTCCCATCAGGAGGTTTTATCACTACATAAACCTGTCACTTGTTCAACCCTAACCTTCTCATCTCCTTTCATGCTTTCATAAACTGTTCCACTCTCGCCTTTACTTCCATAGGGGTGAGTCCATGCATTATTCAAATAATAACTTGGTGCCAAAAAGCTTAACCCTGAGACAGTGGTTATCATCATGTTGTCATTTGCCTGTGTGAAGAAAAAAGTTTGATAGAATGATACATTTACATACAAAAATAAAGAAAATTGAAATGAAAAATAATCTGTCTTTTCTGGTTTCATGCACAGTATGCGGAAGCAAAGTGGTGCAGTTTTCTGAAAATTTCTGAAAATTTGTGAAGTATTTTTAGACTATTTTTCCTTGTTGACAAAATCCTGGGTTCTGCCTGACAATCCTAGTTCCTAATTTAGAAGTCATTTAGTCTTGTCAATTCCAGAAAAGTAAAATATAAAAGAAAAATAGTTTTACAAACTAAAATCTTAAGGTTGTTAAATACAATGGTTTTTAATGCTGTCTAAGCTGTCATTTAACCTAGACCTCGTGTGTTAACTAAATTTGATTTTAGCGGCAAGAAGGATGAGTTCCCCCATTTTGGCAAGTCTCATTAAGTGTATTAAAGTTTAGGTTATGTGATGATTTGAGTGCACTGGGCTGTACCTCAGAGGAGGATTTGACATTATCATAGTCTGTAACCATCTCTTGTACTTGTATTCATTAAGAATGGGAGAAAGAGCCCTACCCTTACACGCCTGATAGTCTCCCACACAATATCCAACTCGCACCTTTAATTTGTCCTTCCCACCTACCCATTCCAATGTTTTAAAGAAGCAAATTATATTTCTCATAATTTCTTATACAAATTCTGATTAGATTTCTACATTTAACACTTACATTTTTATATTGGTTTCCAATCACAAAGCATACTTGGGAATGACCAGGGAGCCGGTCGGCCGAGCGGACAGCATGCTGGACTTGTGATCCTGTGGTCCCGGGCGCCGGCGAGAAACAATGGACAGAGTTTCTTTCACCCTATGCCCCTGTTACCTAGCAGTACAGCAGTACAATAGGTACCTGGGTGTTAGTCAGCTGTCACGGGCTGCTTCCTGGGGGTGGAGGCCTGGTCGAGGACCGGGCCGCGGGGACACTAAAGCCCTGAAATCATCTCAAGATAACCTCAAGATGATTATATTCTTAATGTGTACACTGGTTATGTTCATTTAGAGGGGAAAACCTTCACCCATAATGAATATATTTTCTACGCATGCACAATGCTGACAGTTACCGTTGTGGGAGTTTCAAATACACTTTCACCATTAAAACACATTTAAATAGTCCCTTCTTTACAATATAAAGATCATGCAATTATAATTCAAATCAGCAACTGCCAATAACTGCAGTACCCTAGGAGATCAACATACAGTGTGATGATGAACAACCAATGACAAACGCATAATGATATTTAGTATAAAAAGTCAGCACACTTCAGATACTATGGCTACAGCAGAAGGGGTTCGGTACAACGTGGTCAAGTTACACAGGAGCACAGTACACTGTTCAGTAATTAATCCAAAAAACTGAGATACTGTATTACTGTACTGTATTAAGTGACAATACAGTACAAGACAGTTAAGTAAAATCAAAAATTAAATTCACAAACTTGCTATTAATACACTTAGCATCTGCTGCTGATATTTCATATATGAATATGAAGAAGCAAAGAATACAAACATTACCTTTTGATTTCAGATGCATCATTAGTACTTGTAGAAGGTCCAAGCTGCAACACTAAGCTAAAAGGCACAGCTGGTCCACTCCACTTGTAACACACGGTCACAATTAGTTCCACTTTCCAGCTTATTCCACACACAAATAACCTAATGATTAAAACAAAAAACTATGTTAAACTATAAATAAATAAATAAATAAATAAATAAATAAATAAATGTTTATTTAGGTAAGGTACATACATACAAGAGATTTTACAAAGTTTGTTGGATTAATAGATAGAGCTAGTACATACAATGCCTAAAGCCACTATTACACAAAGCGTTTCGGGCAGGAAAAACATTAATGACTAAAGCTTAATACTAATGGGTATAAAGAATAAAGAATAAAGAACTAGATATAAAGTCAGGCGATCAGTCACGATAATGTGGCTGAAGATATGATGACCAAACCACACATCAGGAAGTGAAGAAACGTCATCGTTTCGGTCCGTCCAGGACCATTATAAAGTCGATTGTGATACAGCTTGATAATGGTCCAGGATGGACCGAAACGTCATCTATTCTTCACTTTATATGATGACTAAACCACACATCAGAAAGTCAGCCACAGTAAGTGAAAGAGGTATAATGCTATCCATAGCACTATACCTCTAACTAAGGCACTAACACAATTGCAAAACTATTTGGTGTTATCTGCATAAGGCATTAATGATATATTATCCAAATGCTATGAAACATGACATGGTACAATGAACATACATAAATGTATATCATTATGCAGTTCCCATTTTCAAGGTGTTGGAAAGAACTTAAAACACCTAAACACTACAGAAAATGTTTTATGCACCCCACAGGCAAGTCAACATAGAAAGGAAGGCGGTTGTGCAATGTAACTTGAATACAAGTTTACAGAAAAAGTCTCCAGCCTTCACATCTCCCAAAAAGCATTTACTATATTCTTCAGTGATAAAAAAAGGTCAACTCAAAATCTTCCACTTCTACAGCAGCCAGTGTGACTAAAGATGACACACCAATCTTTGTTACCCAAGTATCATCTACATCTTCAACAGTCTGAGACCTTAAGATCACCCACTAGGTTGGAACAATTTAAATGAGGTGGTGGTGAATACCAAAACCATCAGTAGCTATAAAGGCTCGTACGACAAAGATTACGGGGGTAGATGGGACACCAGGAGCGTAGCTCCCATCCTGTAATTAGAAGATAACTGCCCTTACAAACTATTGGTATCTACAGACATTAATAATTTTACTGGACCTGACAGTTGTAGGACTGACTGTGGTTAGCCCAAGGCAGCCACCTCCAGTGAAGGCTTCACTTGTAACAATGTTTAAAGTGGCAGATTCTTCTTCCTAAATATAAATAAATAATCTACTCAAATTACTGGGATTAACATCTGTTGCTTATTTGGTACAATTAATATTCATATATATGGCACAATATAATGAGAATTATTATGTAGACTAATTGATAAAATCAGAGATCAAGTCTAATTAAATTAACAAAGCCCTAAAATGCTACTGCAAAAGGATTTAATATTTATTTGAAAACTTATATATATTTTTTTTAACAAACTCCTAAGGTGACCAGAGCATTTTAAAATTTCCTTGCCACTGTTTGATTATGGGCTATTCATGGCCTTGCCACCTCTTGGGTGACTTAATCTTCATCAATCAATTGACTGTTTGAAAATATAATTATCAAATGAAGCAGTTAAGAGTTTAAAATGCTATATAAGCATGCGAGTGAAAACTTTATTAATTAAAACATACCTGAGACCAGAGAGGCTGGTACTGCTGCTTGCTCAGATTATGCCATGGGTCATTGCTGTCAATCTGCAAAAAATGAATTTAACATTCAAATATCCATTTACGTTCAACATTTGTATTAATAATCTTTGTTTTAAACCTACGACTGAATGACCTGTAAATATTAGGCTTTTTCACTGTCTGTGAGCAAGGTTATATTATGCATTACCACATGGTAATGCATTACCGCGTCCAACAGCCTGGTTGATCAGTCCGGCAACCAGGAGGCCTAGTCGACGACCGGGCCGCGGGGATGCTAAGCCCCGGAAGCACCTCAAGGTAACCTCAAGGTATGGTGGGCAGCACAATACTTCATAAACTAACTGCTCTATCTCTGCCACCAATAGATGACTCTCAGGCTCAAATGGAAATACAAAAATTCTTTGATGTCAATTTCAAATGAATGGTTAACCTGTAAAAGCAAACAAAATTTTAACATTTGAATGCCATTGTATTGTTTCATAAATATTAAGAAAATGTTATACAGTACAGTGATGATTTTTATTAGAGAAATAACTGAGGTGCTACAGTTACAAATACATAACAGATCTTTCCAAAATCCAGATCAATAAGCCCTACACAAACTACATGTGCACATTTTGTTATGCAGAAAGCACTCAAACTAATGGTGAGTAATCTATACTACTGTGTTTTGTCCTAAATGCCAATTGGCTAGTTTGACATTTTAAATATGATCTTTTACAAAATAGGCCTCCAGGGAAACAACCCCCCCCCTCACGCACCTTGTATAGCTGCACACTCCTAATCACCAATCATCACACGCACACTAGCACCAATCACGAGACATTAAGAGGACCTTAACAGTATATCAGTTTACCTCCTGCACTTTTAAAATTTCTTATTAGTATTTACTTATAAATGTTTATTTAATACTATTAGCTTGCACATTCTTTTTGTATATTCATTTCACCAATTTGATTACATTTTCATCTTACTAAGATGTTACAAACTGATCTCTATTCCTAGTTTATGCAATTCTACAAATGTGACTAATAAAATCAATTATTAGTCAAAATCAATACTTCAACTCACTTCACCTAATATCTTTGTCCAGTTTATTGTATAATAAATTTGTTTACAGCACATCATCTTTTAATTCTTCTATTTCTATTATTACCCTTAACTCTCCATTTACACTCTTAATTGTTAATTTAGAGCAAATCTAAATTACATACTACAGTCAGAATCTGACGAACCTCCACATACCACGCCTTGCATATTCTCTAACATGAATCAATTACTGTCACCACTGTCTAATTGGTCTATGTTTGTTCCATGTACAATTATAATTATTTAGAATTTGTATAAAAATTATGGTAACATACTGAATATCTTTCACTATCCATAATCACTTCTATAATTCCATTTTTGTCTATAAATTCTTTCTATCTTATGCTTAGCCAACAAATTCCTAGGCTCACATCAATCAATTTCTCACTAAAATTCACTTCTATAATTACCCTCAGTTTGATTAAAAATCTTCATTATATCCACTTCCAGATCACTGTATGAAATACTGAATCCTTTACAAATTATCATCCTATACCAAATGAACTTTATTTATAAAGTTCCTAAATTCATCTCAGTTTTGCCTTAAATTCCATATCATGACTACTATCCCATTTCCAAAAAAGCATGTATCACTTATATATGCAAGCATTCGTGATATATTCCACTCCTTGTTAACACAGTCATTTGTACTATTGAGTAAAGTACTGGTCAAACGCAGTCAGCTCGCAACCGAACAGACTCGGGGTTTGATTCCCGGGTGTAGGATAAGACATTTTAGACACCTAGTAGTAAACACTATCAGTACTCAAGACTTCCAGCAACTGTTGTGGGTTGCATTATGGGTTTTCTTGGGGAAAAAATTCTTGGGGAAAATTTTCTTTCTGAAAACTTGGGGTTTTCCGAGTTGCGTCATGTGGAATTTGGATGAACATAAGAGGGGTTCTGGTCCCAGAATATGGGAAAACCATATACACAATGTAGGTGGATTCAAGTACACCACAAGGCTTCCTCCACACACAATGTTCTATTCACTACGATGTCACAGAAATGAAAGTGTTTGACAAAATTTATCACACACTGAAAGTGTGTGTTAAATTCATTCAAAGTTATAAGCCAAGAACATTTCTTTTAGCCAGAAATCAGCCTGCAGCATGCTTGAGCAACTCGGCCACATCAAGGAAAAAGACTGATATGGGAGGTAAAAAACCATGCCAATTGCTAAACATATTTCAAAACAATATATAACAAAAAATTATATAATTTACATCAGAATGAATATATCTAACACAACATATGATCATACTTTTGAATTAAATCTATGTATAATCTACAGCCCTCATTTTTTTCTGGTAATATACTTAGCAGCCCTCTACTATTTTTTGTGTGTGTTTTGCATGCTTGCAGTGTTGCAGTCACATCAATACTATAGTTCAACAGCTACAAATAATGTGAGTAAACCTGTGAATTCTGCTTTTGAGCCTCGGCAAGAATTGGAGCATAATTCTGGTCAAGCCTACCTGTTCCATGAACCTTTTGCCGTTTCCTTGATGTGGTCTTAGCATGTAAACCTGTGGAACTGCTGGGGTGGCTTGGATGGTCACAAAACAAGAGCGAAATTCATCTCTGAAGTTCTAAAATTTTAAACTCCTGACAATGAAGCTTCTAATTCTCTGTATGGGATATTTGAAACGGCTTTGAACCATTTTGTGTCAGAGAAGTGGATCTTTGGATCAACATATGAAATGAATGTAACATTTTAGTCCATCCAGGACTCTTATTGAGTTGATAAGGGTTCAGGATGGACCGAAACGTTGTCACTTTCCTTTCTTTCCATATATGTTCGCTAGATTTATTAACAGATTTTTATTAAAATGCAAATGAAGTACCAAGTTAGCTTATGGCAGAAGTATATTACAGTTAGCATCAATTAAACATATAATAGCCATATCTCACAGGATAATACTTTATTATATTAATTTCTTTTAATCTAATGCAAAAATATCCCTTCCATATTATAAACATGATTGCATAAAAATTCATATATATTGCACTTTAAAATTAATCCTAACCTTCCCTTGCAGAAAATATTTTTCTCCAAAGCCTTGACAGAAAGATGTCATGAAAGGTAAGAAACAAGGCCCATGATGTGCAAGATAAGGGGCCAAGGATTTCCACATCTTCTTCTCAGCTTCTACAAAATTGTCTTGAGTTTCGTATGTCCAACCTTGGGCAAAAATGGCCGCTGATAACTTGTTAGCTCTTACCACCTCTAAGGCCTGAAAATATAATTACAAATCAGTATTAATGAATTTAAACCCTGACCGAGATTCAACATACATTAATGGATTAGATAGAAAAGATATTAATTTAAACAATTATAAAAATTTAAATAATTGCCAATTAAATGCTTTAAGTTTTGATTAAACAATACAAATATTAGAGGAAAGCCTCCACTCAAACAGATATTGCCACATATCGGAAGATGAAGAAATGATAACGTTTTGGTTCATCCTGGACCATTATCAAGTCATGTGTGTAAACAGTATGTTCGAGTATGTGGTTAGGACGAGAAGTTAGTCGTCAAGATGCAAGTCTCACCCTAACCATATACTGTACTTAGAACTTGATAAAGCACTCAGGAGAGTGCAAAAAACTTGGTGTAACTTCTTACATAAAATAATAGTACAGTATTAATATTATACCCATCCATTCAACATACAGTATTTTCCACACTTGGCAGAATCATGAAAAATTGCCACTGCAGCATTTTAGCAAATCAACCACAGCTTGATCCTTCACTTTATGGACTTTATGAAAACTTCTCAGAAATTATTGGGTAAAATTTCACATTCTTACTCCATCAAAACAACTACAGTACTTACTCTTCATATCTGTCTGTCCATCATCTTTGTCTTCCTCATTTCCTACCCAAACTTTCATTTTTCCAGTCACTTTCCTTCCAACTCTACTGCTTTATTCTTTGCTTACACATATTCCTATTTTGTAAAATACCCATACCCAAGGTATTTAAATCTCTCACCTGTTTCCAGCACCTTTTTTTTTAATTGCCCCAATTTCACATACAGTACAGTGTACTCTTCAGTTGACCATCCTTGCATTACTTTCACCGACATTGATTTTTAGAATTATCTCCTTACATACATCAGAAAAACTTTCAAATAATTACATCCAAACAACTATAGATACATTACACCATGCCTCACTACTCTAGCAACTTTCCATTACTTCCCTTCTTGCCCAACACTTTCCACCGTCCCTCTCAATTCACTTCAAGAATGTGTATATCGTTATCTTCACACAAATTAAAATAAAATGGAGTTACTGTTACTTTGTAAGTGTTAAATTTTCCACCTTCGTAGAAGTTGCGGCCAAACATGTCAAGCCCCACGTAAACCTGTCCAGCTCGCTCACCAGCGGCTTCTTGCGTACGCCTCAGGTGATCTTCTGTCCAAGTGTAGTTCAGGAAAATTCCATCACAAACATCAAAAAATGCCCTGTGGAAAAGTACAATAAATAATAAATTTTTATTCAGGAAAAGTACATACTTAGTTGATTTACAAACAATGTGGGATTTCTAGAAAAGAGCTAGTACATTCAATACCTAAAGCCACAAATAAACATAGCGTTTCGGGCAAAATTGGTATATTTGGTAATTGATAATTTGGTAATTTTGGTAATTAATTACCAAAATTAGTAATTGATATATAGCCTACAATAAGCAAACAAATTTTTTTAAAATAAAATACAACTCTTGACATTAAAATCTGAGTCATGAAATAAAAATAAATTGATTGTAGAAGTGTTATAGAGCAGATTACCAAAAATCATTTACACATCAGCACCTACATCAATTCAAAGCATTAGACAATTGGCCATGTCTTACAGAGTATTTATGTTGCGAAATTCTACATTTTAAATCTTTAGATGTTTGCCCAACATAGAACTTATTACAGTCTTTACAAGGTATTTTATAAATGACACAATTATCACTACGAGGGCTGTTCCTAACTAATAGCTTACCAACAGTATTTTCGTAGCTAAACAATATATGTATATTAAAAAGTTTCAAGGCCTTGACAGTATTTTCAAACCCAGAGAAATATGGTAAACATAACACATTCTTTGGGCGAATTCTTTCACTGCATATATTATTATATGTACGACGTGCTTTGCTACGGCAAACTTCCGAATTTGAAATGTAGAATTTCGTAACATAAATACTCTGTAAGACATGGCCAGTTGTCTAATGCTTTGTTTGTTCATCTGTCAGAAGATGCTCACCAAATTGATCGGGAGATGGCTTCTTCAATTGTGAATTGTAAAAGCACCTATAACAGAAACATAATTGAATCTGCTTTGATACAGATCACAAAAGAAAGTAATTTGAACATTAGCATTGGTTTATATAATTTAGATCCATTTTTAATAGATCAATTAAAGGGCAATTTGTGTAGGATCATTGGAACACATTTGTCTAACTAATTCATTGTAAATATTTACTATCTTATGCTATGATTATCCATGTGTGGGCCTGTGTGTGGTTATGAATGGGAGCTGCATCGGATGGGCCAATAGGCCCTTTGCAGTTTTTGTGCGGCTCATATTTGTGTCCACTTATTGTACCTCACCTCACTCCACCATTCTCTCCTGCCTATTTATGTCCAGTACTCGATATGTAAAACCACTCCTTCTGAAGATGTATTAATATACGAAAGTACTTAAGGAAATTCCTGTTTCAATTTTCCTCTGTGGTCTGACACTGTCACATTTTTAATCACGTGTTTATTTTCGTGATATACACACATATATATATATATATATATAATACCAATATAATGCCTTTTAAAGACATATGAAGTAAGAAGCATAGCATTTGTAACCATTTTTATCTCTAAATACTTTACCTGTTAAGATTGTTTAGCTCATTCTGCCAGAGTAATTTTCCTTCAATGGTAACACTGTCGTACCATATCACCAAAGCATCAGGACATGACTCTTTCATTGCCAGTGTTAACTTCTTCACAAAATTTATCAATTGTCCAACCTGCAGAAAGACTGTAATGAATTTACTAGCTTCATGTTAATTTAAACAATTACATATTGGCACAAGTCCGCTAAAATAGTCTAGACAATACGTCCAAAGTAACAATTTTTTAAATTTTTAGGTTTCTCTGTTGAGGACAAAAACTACCATTAACTAATTCACCTGCTCAGGATCTATTTTATTTTCGATATTGAAGAGCCATCCTTCAAATTTGTGATGTCTGGCTATGTTAACCAACTGAGATACACAGGTTGTAATCATTGCCTCATCTGCCAACATCCGTTTACAAACATCAGCACCTTCATTCCACTCTGTGATGAATGTTCCTAGGATACAAGATAGAGAAATATTAGATTGAAAAATCCTGTTACCTACTTACACAGAACATCCAAAAACCTGGTTTACTACAATAATCCAGTAATCAGGTATAGTTCAACTGCATCAAGGTAAATAAGGAAGAAAATCATATCTATTAAAGCAAAAATATTATTATGAAATACTAAATTAGTTAAAAAAATTAAAATTTAGAAGCAATGAAGCTCCTATCAATGCATTACAGAATGTTACATAACATTTGCTAGAATGTGCTCTGTCTACAGCAATTATTGAATAAGCAGAAACAAGCATAGTGTTTCCAGTTCACTGTATCAAATCAAATTATATCTTCTAAAGGCATTTATCTGAATTAAAATTGCTAATAAGAAAAAACAAGGTATTCAATTTTCCTTCATGCAACTAATCAATAAATGCCATATAGTAATTTGTTACAGCAAAAATTAAGAGAATTTAAATTGAACTATGTAACAGAATTAAATCATTTTTGATTCACACGTGACAATATACTATTCAAAACGTGATTTTAACGTACCCAAGACTTTAACCCCATGCTGGTGTGCGGCATTGACCCAAGACACTGGGGGAATTGTAACAAGGGAATGACTGAAGTACACGAATGTATCAATTCCTGACCAGTGATAAAACCTGTAAGCATCGTTCTTTTTGCTTCCCTTATAAAACCTGCAAAAAAAAAGTAATAATAGTTTAAGTTTGTAATAACATGTGCTTTCATTATTAGTAATAAAATCATTGCTACACCATGTCTCGTACTCATGGAGAAGGCAGTACCAGCCAGGACAAGAATTTGAAGAAAGAGAAAGTTAAGATAGTATCATGAGAACAAAATTTTCACCTAGGTCTACTTCTCCATATGCAAGCCCTCCTCCTGTTTTGATATAGTACTTATAGGAAGGATGAGGACCATAGTACATATACCGATGTACATCGCAATTAGAAAATAAAAATCGGTACTACTGTACTGTATTGAATTTGGAAACAAGAAAAGATTTTCTACTTATATTACAAAGACAAACTAAACTAACCTAATCTTCTTAGGTCTAATACATCCTATCTGAGGAATAATATAGTATACATGTGTGCTATACTAAGTCTAGGAATATTTAAGTGTACTTGCGAAAGTGTTAAGTGTACTTTAGCTTAATTTTTGTCAGACTCTTATAAAGTGAATAGTACAAAATTCTACTCTCTCTCTAATTGCATAGTACATCAATGTTTGTACTATGGTGCACATAGTTACAAAAACTACTATATAAATGGAAGGATGGGTTGCCATATGAGGAAAGAAATATTTATAGCTAAGCCATATTATTTTAAACTACAAGTACTGTAATTAATTAGTTTTAGTTTTTCAAAAGCAATTTTTTTAACTCTACTGGTAAACCAGTGCTAACTTGTTTCCTTTCTAAGATTCAAACTGAATAAATTAAAACCGAGTTATGTTTAAATTTTATATTTTTTATATCTCATTCCCCTGATCATCTATCCATATGTGCCCTTCATCCATATGTACACTTCAACCATATGTGCACTTCAACCTTATAAACCCCAGCCATTCTCTTGACATTTATAATTAAAATTTCACTCTTAAAAATTTAAATTAGGGTAAAAATAATCCTTACATAAATGAACCTTTTAAGGTACCAGTATTTCATTTAATATTACACAAAACTACAGCAACTGACCACATACCTGTCTTCTAAGTATCCACCCATCATATCATGACAAATGAGTGTCTTTGGATGTGATGGAGGATGATGAGAAACACGAGAGAAAAGTTCCTTCTCACTGACAATCTCATCATTTACATGGCTTTGCTCAGTCCATTCTAGAAGTTCATCCAAAGTTTTCAGTGGACGAAGTTCTCCAGCATCACTGCCCTCTATTGGTGCCATTGTCCCCTTGTCACAACAAAATGCCATTAAAATATAACCAGACTGGTGAGATAGTAGATTTTTTTTTTAAGCTCTTTACGTAAAAACCTACTAAAACTATATCTCTGCTCATGCTTTGATGCCTACATTCCAAATCAGACAAAAAAAAAAAAAAACAATATGAGGGTCTGGGTGGTACAGAACAATTCAGTTCATTCTCAACTCTCAATCGGGAATTCCTGGTTCGAATCCCAGGCAAGACAGAAATGGCTGGGCACATTTCCTATCACCTAATGCCTCTGTCAACCTACCAGTAAATAGGTACCCAGGAGTTAGTCAATTTGTTAAGTAGTTGTATGGTGGAGAAGGTCAGTAGTAGTAAACAGTCTCCGTGGTGTAGTGGTAAGACACTCGCCTGGCATTCCGCGAGCGCTATGTCATGGGTTCGTATCCTGGCTGGGGAGGATTTACTGGGCACAATTCCTTAACTGTAGCCTCTGTTTAACGCAACAGTAAAATGTGTACTTGGATGAAAAAACGATTCTTCGCAGCTGGGGATCGTATTCCAGGGACCTGCCCGAAACGCTATGCATACTAGTGGCTGTACAAGAATGTAACAACTCTTGTATATATCTTCAAAAAAAAAAAAAAAAAAAAAAAAAAAAAAAAAAAAAAAAGTTCGACCTTGGCAGGAACCTCAATACAAGCCTAACATGTATATATACCCTGCCTGCCTGTCTCCTGACACAATTAATTAATATATCTTTACTAAAATCCACAAGGTTTTAGTATTTGTTGTAATTTATTGGTTATCATACTGCCTACTTGCTAGGCTCATAATGATATTTTTTATTTATAAAATACATGTAGGAACATGTCACAGAAGGTACTTGGTAGGTACATTAATTGAATAATCAGGTGGAAGCACATATAAGGGATGCGAAGACAAGGATCTGGATATGAGGATGGAGTGAAGGAATGGTGCCCAACCATTTCATAATTCAGTATTAAATTAGTATTACTGTACTAATTAAATTTAGTATTACTAACCATTTACAGTAGTAATTTAGACAATATACAGTACATCATTGTCATAAATTTTAATTTTGCCTCTAGCTCTTATCCAGTATTCTTTTTACTAATGATAATAAAATGCCAACAATAAGTCATTATGCACCCTATACATATCCTGTGTATAATATTGGAAGCATTACCATGTTATTATTTACAATATAAGTAACTCCTTGCCTAGCCATGTATAACATAGCTCAAGGTATTATAATAATAAAAACAGGGCGTTGGAATGGGCCGACTCGTTCATCACCGGGTTACAGATGCTCTTACAGTAATAATAATAATATTTATTTACAAGAAGGTACAATGGGTATGTGAGATTTCATAAAATTTGTATTTTTACATTCTTGCAAAGCCACAACACGCACAGCGTTTCGGGGTATAGCTAAAGATATACTGTTCTATATATGGATAAACTATATTTCTTAGCATACTATAGCTAAAGAAATTACAGTAGGTTGCCTGTCGAGGGGACAGACAGCCTGTGTATGTATATACATTAATTATGTTAGGCTGTTATTGAGGTCCTTCCCCACATCCCCCTCAAGTCAAACTAATGACCACCCCCAAGAAGCAACTTCGCAACCGTTGATTAACTAACTCGTAGATACTTATATTCTGCTAGGTGAACAGAAGCACTAGGTGAATGACAAATGTACCCAACCATTTCTGCCCTACCTGGGATTCAAACCCGGGATTCCCGAATTCAAGTCGAGAATGAACCAAACTCTACTACCGAGAACCAGTTTGAACAATACAATCTTAGCAAAATACAGTATACCAAACTTTGTTTATGGCGAGCTTATAATAATATTTTATGTATATAAAATAGAGGATTAATGCTTCCCATTGCTTGTAGGCCTACCATTACCTAGACCCTCAATTATGGTAACTACTGTACTGTAAACTAGCAAATAACACCGAGCCGTATATTTTTGTGTAAAATAATTACAGCACAGATAAAGTCAGGTGATCTTATCTAAATAGCATAAAAGCTACTCTAACTTTTTATTTAGTTAATTTATTATGCACCCCATACATGTCCTGCAGATGGTAATGGGAAAGGTTACAAGTTCAAGTTCAAGTATGTTTATTGAGATAAGCAATAAATACATCTCAAAGGGATAGAGTAGCTTAGGCTATTTCTACCCCCCATAGGTTACAAAGGGAATATAATGGGCTCAGGAACTTAATCCCAAAACTCGCATCTAAGCAAATTACAGTCTTGATCAGCTAGTTACATTCTTTAACCAATCGCAGACCAACACACATGGAAAAACTATTAAACCTTTCCCCTAAACACACACCAATGATGAAATACACAATATACATAACTGCAAGACATGCCAGTTACTTAATTCATCCTGTACTTGTCTCGACTTAAGTCCATTACAGATGTGATGACATATATCAAATTTTGTAAAGAGCTCATCAAGATTTTTAACTTCCATACCTAAATGAATTTTAGGAACAAGTCCTCGAGCCGCTGTAAAAAAAACTTTTTCCCCTACCGCCTACAGCATGGGTATAGGGTGCATAATAAACGCAAATAAACCCCACTAAGACAACAACGGAACATGAATAATAAGAGAGTTGACAATTACGTGTAACTGAGGCAGAAGGGGGGCGAGAACTAGACGAGATAATAACCACCTCCGTCACTCACTCGCCACAAACTTCCTGTGTTATATCACTCTACCATTACACACAGGATACCAATCTGTCCTCAGGCTGGACATGGAACCCTTGGTGGTGGTGGTGGGGGGACCTCTGACAAGCCGCCGGCTTCCTGTCCTCATCGAGGCCACTATAACAGCGTTAAAATAGCCCTCAGGTAGGTTCCGGATATCTCCCGATAAGGGCCCAACTCCGGACCCTCACAGGGCACGACCCCAGCAGACGGGACTAGGCAACCCCCAGACCGGGGCAAGGAAGGAGGGGGAACAGCAGGCGCGGCAGCGACCCCACCACAGGGCACAAGAGCCGAGGCTCCCTGGCGCACATCTTTCCGCAACTTCACAACGAGGTCCCGACCATCAGGGACAACCCCCCACTGTGGGGACCCAACAGCAGGAGACGCAGGAGGGGGGGCACAGGGAGCAACGTCGGAGCCCCTCACAGCACCATCATCCTCGGCGGGGGACGCCAGCTGAGCACCATACTCCCCCACCTCCTCCCAAGGCACACCACGAAGGGGGGAGACACTCCGAACCCGCCGCGAACGCTTCGAGACAGGCCGCACCACACCACGCCCAGCAGGCCCCGCCGCAGGCACAGCCTCCACCGTCATATCCACACAGGCCACACCCGCACCGTCCGAAGAGTCCACAGAGGCCACATCACCCACACTGTCTACATCATCCACGGAAACAGCCTCAGAACACCGACGCGCGCGCTTCTGCAAAGGAATGGGAAGAGCAGAACTACAGGAGGCAACACACTCAGGCACGACAGGCACCTCACCACGAAGCACCCCCTCCAAAACGGCAGAACCCGCGTCCCCGGGAGCCGGTAACACATCCACAGGCGGGGGCGGAACATGAACCTCCACCGGGACACCTTTCACTACACACAGCTCAGGCGACAGCCTGACACCCTCACACACCGGCTGAACAACCCCAGGGGCCACAGCTGGCACTAGACGTGTCGCACAGGCTGGAGAGCTCTCCTCAACAGGCGGAGCAGCAGACAGGCAGGCAGGCGCCTCAGGCACAGCACCAACACCGCCCGAACGCAACAGGGGCGGAAAATCCTCCGCACGAAGAACATGCACACGACCAGTCGCTCCCACGTCGCACGCAGCAGCCAGATGACCCTCGTGACCACACCGATAACAGGTGCGCGGTTGACCACGCCAACGTCAGTTGGTATAGGAAACGGATCGCATGTATATATATACTTCGACCATTTCGCATATAAAATATGTTCACAATTCTAGTCTTATTTAGTTTTTTCTTCAAAAGAATGTAGTGTGTACAAAGAACATAAGAGTGTAACTCTTATGAACAATTAATGTTGGGATAGGAGTTACATATACTAATATATAATCCTGCCCGAAATGCTTTGCGTAATAATGGCTTTAGGCATTGTATGTACTAGCTCTATCTATAAATCCATCAACTTTTGTATCTTACTTTGTATGTATGTACCTTACCTGAATAAAAATTTACTATTTATTATTATTTATTATATATTTTTTGTTATTCACAAGCTTAGGTATTCACAGAAATGTGCTGCTACCTTGTTTTATATGAGAGATTCCTAAGTGTAGATCAAAAACTAGGTATAACTTCATTAAATAGCCCCGTCCTAACGTTTCCCAATGTCAAGAAACTGTCGTACTAAAAGTGCCCTAATCCTAACCTACCAGAGGGGCCAAAACAGGAAACGGGATACATTTTATTTATTAGTTTAGTTAATTTATTATGCACCCCATACCCATCTTGTGGGCGGTAGTGGAAAGGGTTACAGAGGCACATAATGGGCTCAGGGACTGAACCCCACAATTCATTTAGCTAAGCAAGTTACAATCTTGATGAGCTAGTTACAAAATTCAATATAAGTCGTCACATCAACAATGGGTTCGAGATCGACCTCAAGTACAGGTTCTAAATTAAGCAACTGACATATGTGGAGAGCTAGTGTCAAAATTTATATGTTTGTCCTGCACACTACATCAATTTCGCGAGCCAATACGAGTTTCTAGTACGACGATTTTTAGTCTTAGGTAAAGTATTCGTCAAAATGCGACGTTCTATTAGCAGAGAGGGGAACCCCATCGAAAAAAATGATTTTATTTCCATTCATTCCAGGAAGGCACCATTCCTCCCCGTCCCATTCTAAATCCTTATCCTGACCCCTTCCCAGTGCTATATGGTCGTCATGGCTTGGTACTTTCCCCTGATAATTCCTTCCTTCCTTCCATCATCTTGTTTAAATTACCAATCAAGCTGTCAATGAAATCAATCAGAGCTTTAATTAATATACCAATGTGCTTTATCATCCACACAAGCTGAACTGCAGGCCATTCTGGCGTGTTTGGAGGAAGTACGTCATGACGACAAAAATGTTTTTGTATTTGTCGATAGCCGAGGAGCACTGGAGTCCTTAAACAGTCGAAACCCAGTCTTCATGTCTATAGTGGAGGACTGTAAGAGAAGAATAACTGAGATACAGCTGAAAGGTTATAGTGTGAAATTCATGTGGATTCCGTCTCATGTTGGAATAGTGCTCAACGAGGTGGCGGATGACTTGGCCAAACGTGCCACATCAAAACCACAAGTTGACATTGAATGTGAATTCACAATGAGACAAATAAGAAGCAAAATCAGAAATATTCAGGCACAGGCGGGAGTGGAGAGGAGAGAGATAATGTATGAGAGAAGTCAAACCATGCAACACTACATGTATGTGAGTCAAAACACCCATTTCACTTATGGTAAAAGGAGAAATGCTTGGAGTGACTCTGTGTACATGCGGCTCAGGCTTGGGTACAAATACTATACAGTATACCTAGGTCATAAAAGTATTTGTGTGTACGTCTGATACCATATACTTACTAATCTCTCTCATCTCATTTTTTTCTTGCAATGTATCTGTTATCATTTTATTAATTCTGCTAGAATTTACCTACTTAAAATTATCTGTTAGATTAAGGACCTGCCCGAAACGCTGCGCGTACTAGTGGCTTTACAAGATTGTAAATACTCTGCTATGTATTCTCACAAACCCAATGTACCTTCTTGTATATAAATAAATAAATAAATAAATAAATAAATAATAAATAAATATAGTGACGGATGGTGTGCAAATAATTTTGCTGGCACAGTTTACATTGGGCCAGGTCTACATCACCAAATTCCCAGAGATAAGGATGAAAGGAAAGTGTGATCCTTCCCGGACTGATGTATGAGTTAAAGGTCATCCTCCACCGTCTTGCGGCCATGACTGAGCTGGGCCTATTCACCAATATATCTGCATGTTTCAACATAAGGAATCAACATTAACAACAACAACAATACGTTCTCAGTGTCTAGACAGACACCACCCCCCCCCCTCCTCCTTCTAGTACGCAAGACACAAAATTCAAAATTCAAATTCAAATTCAAATCAAAATATTTATTTAGGTTTCAAATTCAAATTCAAATTCAAATGTTTATTCAGGTAAAGTACATACATACAAGGGGTGATACAAATATTGCTGAATTTATATATAGAGCTAGTACATACAATGCCTAAAGCCACTATTACGCAAAGCGTTTCGGGCAGGAAGAGTTATTATTACACCTAGTGGACACCTGTCGGGGCAGAGACCCAGTTCCACTCGCCGGTCGACCAACCACTAACTGCTCGTTTAATTGCCGGCTAATGGTTCCCCACAACATCAGCGCCATTTATGCTGGCCTGGCCCACATGAAACGAGCTCACCAGTGTCCAGTCCTCGCCCATGCCACCTCTTGGGTGGCTTAATCTTTATCAATCAATCAATCAATCAGTCCAGTCCTCAGAATACACTTCGTACTCTCAGCAGTAACATATACTGCCTCCTCCTCTTCAGGAGACTGTAGATGCATATAGCTCTTGTATAAAGTAATTTGCACCTTTCTTTTGCTAAACGTAAAAACTCACCTGTATTTATATTTATTTTCATAATATTGTGTTTTAGCCAAGTGGATAAGGGGCTTTGTTTTGTATGTTATTAAAGCTTTAAGAGAAAAGGTTATGCTTTATTTTGTATGTTATCATTTTTGTTATATTAAATGTTTTAAGTGTTTATTCTCTATGTTTTACCGGCAGCTTATACATTGTAGAGGTCACGAGCAGTCTTATTTACTTTATTTTACATTTTATTAATATGTGATTGGCACAACACCAGCCAGAATAACCACTGCTCTTTTATTTACTCATTTATTCAGATTATCCGTCAGATTATTCAGATATTTATTTATATCAGATTATCTTCACAGTTTCCTGTCTCAAGTCCTCTCTGGATATTCCATGCTGTTATTCCCACAGTTTCTGGTCTTCCCTGTCGTTGTGAGGATAAATTCTCTCGACCTGCCATCGTAGCTGAGGTCTCTCAATACTCGTACTAATCTAGTTGCAAACCTCTGAACTCTCTCAAGTTTCTGTACATAGTGTTATATCATGTTATCAGTACATGGTGTTATAGCATGTTATCAGGACATGGTGTTATATCATGTTATCAGTACATATAGTGTCATATCATGTTATTATTAGGGAAAAGTGAAACTAACGGACATAAAAATATATTTACTGTAATAAAATAACTTACATAGCCCCCTTTTAAAATTGTATTTTCATTTCTTTTGGATTCCCTTCACACTTTTGGGGATTCCCTTCACACTTTTGGGGATTCCCTTCACACTTTTGGGGACTCCCTTCACACACTTTTTTCTCTCTGCACATTATATATCCCATTCGCCCCCTGTTTTTTTAATTTTCTTTGCACTTTTTTGGATATTCTATAATTTTTAGATTCCAAATATATTGATGAGTGGAGCAGTATTAATTAAAACAAATATAACGTTAGATTTACAACATTTTCAATTAAATTCGATCACAGTTCTAATAAATATTTAAAAATATATTGCATTTTAATATTTTCTGAAACTCATAAACTCAGTCAAATTTATTTCACAGGTTTGTTTAGTGTTTAACCATATTATTTTTGTTCATTAACACGTTAAATTTTAACAAATTCATTGGAAATAAATTGTTATCATTGTTGTTCAACAACACTCTGAACATTGACAACTACATTAGTAGTATTAGACTGTTATTCATCCCACTTGTTGTTCACCAGTACTCTGAACACTGACAACTTTAGTAGAAGCCAGTTATTATCCATCTTGCAGGCGATGAGTCACAATAACGTGGCTGAAGAATGTTGACCAGACCACACACTAGAAGGTGAAGGGACCACACACTAGAAGGTGAAGGGACCACACACTAGAAGGTGAAGGGACCACACACTAGAAGGTGAAGGGACGACACACACACTAGAAGGTGAAGGGACCACACACTAGAAGGTGAAGGGACCACACACTAGAAGGTGAAGGGACGACACACTAGAAGGTGAAGGGACCACACACTAGAAGGTGAAGGGACCACACACTAGAAGGTGAAGGGACACACTAGAAGGTGAAGGGACGACACACTAGAAGGTGAAGGGACGACACACTAGAAGTGAAGGGACGACACACTAGAAGGTGAAGGGACCACACACTAGAAGGTGAAGGGACGACACACTAGAAGGTGAAGGGACGACACACTAGAAGGTGAAGGGACCACACACTAGAAGGTGAAGGGACCACACACTAGAAGGTGAAGGGACCACACACTAGAAGGTGAAGGGACCACACACTAGAAGGTGAAGGGACGACACACTAGAAGGTGAAGGGACCACACACTAGAAGGTGAAGGGACCACACACTAGAAGGTGAAGGGACCACACACTAGAAGGTGAAGGGACCACACACTAGAAGGTGAAGGGACCACACACTAGAAGGTGAAGGGACCACACACTAGAAGGTGAAGGGACCACACACTAGAAGGTGAAGGGACCACACACTAGAAGGTGAAGGGACCACACACTAGAAGGTGAAGGGACGACACACTAGAAGGTGAAGGGACGACACACTAGAAGGTGAAGGGACGACACACTAGAAGGTGAAGGGACGACACACTAGAAGGTGAAGGGACGACACACTAGAAGGTGAAGGGACGACACACTAGAAGGTGAAGGGACGACACACTAGAAGGTGAAGGGACCACACACTAGAAGGTGAAGGGACGACACACTAGAAGGTGAAGGGACGACACACTAGAAGTTGAAGGGACGACACACTAGAAGGTGAAGGGACGACACACTAGAAGGTGAAGGGACCACACACTAGAAGGTGAAGGGACGACACACTAGAAGGTGAAGGGACGACACACTAGAAGTTGAAGGGACGACACACTAGAAGGTGAAGGGACGACACACTAGAAGGTGAAGGGACGACACACTAGAAGGTGAAGGGACCACACACTAGAAGGTGAAGGGACGACACACTAGAAGGTGAAGGGACGACACACTAGAAGTTGAAGGGACGACACACTAGAAGGTGAAGGGACGACACACTAGAAGGTGAAGGGACGACACACTAGAAGGTGAAGGGACCACACACTATAAGGTGAAGGGACGACACACTAGAAGGTGAAGGGACGACACACTAGAAGTTGAAGGGACGACACACTAGAAGGTGAAGGGACGACACACTAGAAGTTGAAGGGACGACACACTAGAAGGTGAAGGGACGACACACTAGAAGGTGAAGGGACGACACACTAGAAGGTGAAGGGACGACACACTAGAAGGTGAAGGGACGACACACTAGAAGTTGAAGGGACGACACACTAGAAGGTGAAGGGACCACACACTAGAAGGTGAAGGGACCACACACTAGAAGGTGAAGGGACGACACACTAGAAGGTGAAGGGACCACACACTAGAAGGTGAAGGGACCACACACTAGAAGGTGAAGGGACCACACACTAGAAGGTGAAGGTGGGGTCTGGTCAACATTATCCATCTTAGTGTTGTTCACTAACACTCTGAACAACTGGAGAAGCAGTAGATTGTTGTCCATCCCCTAGTTGTTCACCACTGTGAACATGAACAAATGCAGTAGAGAGCAGAAACTGGTGATAATAGTGTGAAGAAACATTAAGATGAGAGAAAACTTTTGGATGTTACCTGTAGCGTGGTTGACTTACTACCAAGTGAACCCGGGCTCAATGAAACGTTTGGGCTCCTTTCTGTACACCCGCTTGCTTCTGTTCATTTAGCAATAAGTAGGTACCCGGGAGTTATGCGACTGTTGTTGGTTGCATCCTACATAAGGCCAGATAAGCCTTGATTAGACTAACAAGCTTACTGCTTCGGAACAAGAGATAGTATATGAAGTCTACTCTCGTCTTGTATTGCTCTACAAGTGAACAAGACTGAACAAGTAAACAAGACAAGTGAACAAGACATTAGTGAACAAGACTTCGGCTGGAGTGTCCTAACCACCTCTTGTGTATGACATTAGCCATGTGTGACTAGATTGAAATTATGTAACAAGCTGTGATGGAACACAGTTTGCTCAATTTCATGCAATTTACAATTATATTAAAACGGCTGCTAGTTAATGCAGTTTAAGTTTAAAAACAAAACAGAAAACATTATTGGAATAAGAGTATTATATTACATCACAACTACTCCAGTTAAAATATGTATCCTTGCTAACAATTGTAAACACCATTCTTCTCTGATTAGAACATTTTCACATAAAGAATATTATTGACATCATAATAATGTAAACACACACACACACACACACACACACACACACACACACACACACACACACACACACACACACACACACACACACACACACACACACATATATATATATATACTGCAACAAAATGCTTTGAAAGGCATTTAACAACAATTAAATAAACACACAAGAAAAATGCATAATTTTCAATGTGGAATCAGATGCATTTCAATATTTATACACATTATTCTGCAGTCACAATAATATTAACAAACTTTAAGAAACTTTAGTACACAGTTTCATGCAAAGTCACCATGCAAAGTTACACATATAACCACACTTACATACTGACGCGTACCGCAGTTACAAGACATTGGAGAAAAATAGGGTTGGGCATGTGTAAATTCTCACATATCAAAATGGTCTTCAAGCACAGATTTGTTTGTCATATAGTCTAAGGTAGCTACACGAATCCAGTTGTACCTAAATGTTTTAATATAATAACACAAATTTTGAGTTCATTGCGAACAAAAAACTGAAAAAGACAAATCTACGGACAGCACAACCCACATTTGATAACTGACTGTGTACTGGGTACATGTACTGGGTACATGTACTGGGTACATGGTGATGCTAGCGGCGATCACGGTGCCGTCCACTGGGTTTTGAAGGCGTGTGTGATTCATATTGTTCTGCTGAAGATGCACTTCGATGCATACCCCTGTCTCTAGACCTTGAGTGACGGGGCCGGTCTTCAGGTGCGTGTGACGAGTCGTGTCGTCGAGTAGGGGAATAATCAGCAGATGGACATTGGCCCTGATAATTTTGACGAGGACCCTGATGACTTCGACGAGGGCCCTGGTGACTTCGACGTGGATCTTCCCATTCACCGTATCTGTCAAGACGTTTGTGGACGTGGTGTTTTTCAGCTTCCGCGCCATCACTTACATATCCTTTATTAGAAAACGTTTTCAGGATAGGAGGTTCGGAACGAATTCTACTGTCAGTAACAATATCAGAAACACCACGCCATATCGCGACTTCCTTACTCACGCTTGATTCACTGGAATCATCGCTGGAAGTGCCGAGACCCAAGTCTTTTTCTATATTGTTAGTGCTTCCAGGTTGATCCATTACCTCAGGTTCCACTTCTACAGCTGATTCACTAGTGGTCATTGCCGTTACACTGCGTGGTCGTGGAATTCTCAAACTGGGACCAGAGAGGGAAATTTCCTGGCCATGTACATGGGTTGGTTGGCAATTTGTCGCAGACAGCTCTGTGTCCTCCTTCGGTTTCTCTTTACTACAAGAAATAGGGCCCAAGACGGAAAGGAGTACTGGCAGGAGTACGAGTCCATGTAAAACACCAAACAATATTACAAGGAAGACAGTCTTAAAGAAAGTGATAAATATATAGGAGGGAGCTAGACTTAATGCGGTGACACCTAGAATAGTAGAGAGACCTCCTTGCAATATTGGCAGTCCCAGAGTATAGAGACAATCCCGTACTCGCTCGTCTGGAGTTTCACCTTTAGACACCAAATAAGCATGTGCAATGTGAGCTGAGAAATCGACACTAAAACCAATACATATGATTAAGTTGATCATGGAAATGGAATCTAAACTTACGCCCCAAAAGGCCATGTAACCCACAACACCGATTTCCACCGAGGTGATAGAGAAGACGACCCAGAGACAACAGAGAGCGTTTGGTATAAACACGAGAGACACAGCCATCATTATGACTGCTGTTAAACAGATGTTTTCTATGCTAGTTGACCTCACCATAGTGAACTGAAAAGAAATAGAAAACAAGAATCATATATGCTGAAAAGATCCATGTTGCGCAAATAAAATTCATCACAACAAAACAATGTATCACTCAATTCGACCACAGCGGGCACAATATATAAGAGTAAAGATAATTCAACATTTTCAACCATGAATCAACATTATGTGTTTACTGGGAAGTACATTATCAAATCCACCAACCTGGATTAACATTATCAACATTCTGTGTTTACTGGGAAGTACATAGGCAAAATTGACCAACCTGATCAAAGTAGACGAAAAATAGATTGTAGACTGTGACGTTAAACTTGGACTCTGAGGCCACTTTGCGGAAGGTTTCCATCATATCCTTATCTGCGTTTCCATCCAGCACCTTGTATGCCTGGACGATGAACCTGGACGCTTCAATACGCGTTTGGTTCTCGTTGAACTTGACGTCCTCAGCGAATAGATTGGCCGGACCTGACAGGTACAGCTGAGGAAGAGTGAACAGAGAATATGTGTGAACGTTTTTTATTTTTTGAGATATATACAAGAGTTGTTACATTCTTGCACAACCACTAGTACGCGTAGCGTTTCGGGCAAGTCCCTGGAATACGATCCCCGCCGCGAAGAATCGTTGTTACAACCAAGTACACATTTTACTGTTGCGTTAAACAGAGGCTACAGTTAAGGATTTTCGCCCAGTACATCCTCCCCGGCCAGGATACGAACCCATGACAAAGCGCTCGCGGAACGCCAGGCGAGTGTCTTACCACTACACCACGGAGACTTTCGTTCGTATTTAGAACAAAATAACCGACAACAAATCAAAGTTTGTTAAAAAAACGCGACTTTACTTGATTTTTGTATGAGCCAAATATAATATATATATATATAAATAAGTATATAAATAATAATAAATAAATACCTTACATTTTTTGTACATTTGTCCATATTACTTACTTCTTGAACAATTATTTATCATATTTTGTTCATATCATTTCTCCTCTACTCCCTTTGGTAATATTGTAAGAACCTGTAGCCTCGCAGAAGAGAATAAAAGGCATTCGGGGAAGCTTTAAGAGTATCTCCTTGAATATTTCAGAGTATTTTCTTCTACCCTCCCCACTGTTTTGTTTTTATGTAATTTGTAATGTAGGCTGTAATCTACAAAGAGAATACATTATACATACTCTCCCTAACTCACTGTGCTTAGGGTGACTTACCTCTTTGAGCTCAGCGCAGAAATCCTCTTCACTTGTAATATTAATATCTAGGAAATCTTTGTTTCTTTCAACGAAACCTAACCAGGCTCTCAGCCATGATTCTGTATAGAGGGATCCAATACTGTATGGCGTAGACTCGAACTCCTTGTGTAGAGCCATCAGATCCTTCTGGGTTTCGGGGTCACTATAGTTCAGGTCACCTGTTATTACAACCTGGGAACAAAAACAGTTGATTTAGTATCGTATTTGCGCCTAGAACTAAAAAAGTGTTATGTGGATATAATGTCACGAAACATTCTTTTAAAATATACAGACATATTCTTGAATTAACTTAGACTTAATAAGGTAGTATGCATTACTTAAGTCTTAAAAGTTATTCTCAATTTAATAAAGTATGGAAACTACTCAGCTTAAGTCTTGGAAGCTTTTCTCAATTGAATTAGGTTTGAAAACTACTATGCTTAATGCTTGCTAACTTTTCTCGTCTGAATTTAGCATGGAAACTCTTTACCTTAAGACTCTGAAGCTTTCCTCACCTGCACTCTGTATGGAAATTCCCTAAAATACTTGTCTTCTCTCTCATAAAACTCCACAGAGTAGGAGTCGTCACGGGAGAGTCTCCGTCGCTCAAGGCCTTCGTCCAGCATAGTGCAGCCCCAGAAGGCCACCCCCAGGTAAACCAGGAACAGTACAATCACCACGGCTGCCAACACAAAAATCACAAAAATGTATGTATGTAATGCAGACGAGGAGTCACAATAACGTGGCTGAAATATGTTGACCGAACCACATACTAGAAAGTGAAGGGACGACAACGTTGTTTCGGTCCGTCCTGGACCATTCTCAAGTCGACTTGAGAATGGTTCAGGACGGACTGAAATGTCGTCGTTCCTTCACTTTCTAGTGTGTGGTTTGGTCAACATATGTATGTAATATATATATATATATATATATATATATATATATATATATATATATATATATATATATATATATATATATATATATATATATATATGTATTTCCTGGTGAGTAGGTTAACCTTGAACAATTTTGGCATGAACATTGCATAATGTTTTATGTGTAAATAAAATAATAATATTAATAATAATAATTATAACAATAATAATTCAGAATCAAGTGTAATGGTGTTGTGAGAAATTTTATGGAGGGAGGACTCACCCATGTTGGGCATGCAACCAAAAGCAGTTACTGGGAAAAATTGGGTGAAGCTAGCCACAAGCGTTTGGTTTTAAACGTCGAACAGTGACAGGCAGATAGACGGACAGACATGTCAATTTATAGAGATTGAAGATTCTGAATATCTTGTATTGTGTCTTGGTTATAAAGGGGCCTCTTTAACACCAATCTAATACAAATATTTGTGTTCGCTTTTCAATAAATAATTGCCTTGGTTTATCGTTAAAATTAATTGCATACGAATTTAGCACATACAAATTAAAACAAAATAAATTGAATTAAATCTTCTTAAAACAGCTAAAACAAAATATAGGAATATACATATGTTACACTACATATACACTGAACATATACACTGAACAGTTAACAATATATTTGTTTTCTATTTGTTCAAACTGTTCAAAGACTATCCAGCTGAGGGTAGAAAGTATAGGGCTTACCTTTGACGGCCGGGATGTTGAGGAAACTGGCCACTTGATCTCTGAAGAACACCATAACGATGTGTTCTTTGTTATCCTTTTGGTTCCAGGGATCTGCTTCACTTATCCCGCCCGTGCATAGGAAACGGTAGCAGCAGCTGGCATCCGCTGAGAGTGAGAGAATGAGAGGTGAGGGGGTGGGGGGGGGGGAGGGAGGCTGGCGAATGAGGTAAGACATCTCTGAGTCATACCTTGAAGTTGGTGAAATCGTTCAAAATCTACAGAAATGTCATATATAGTCAAATACTAAACATTAAGTAGAAGGGAGAGAGAGAGAGTGAGAGCGGAAGAAAATCCTCGCTCATCCGGCCAACATAATTCATACTGTCGTTACACTTTGCTTCTACGATTCCTGATTCAACCTTGGTGACGAGCGGACGTCTTGACACCTGCTCCGCCTGGGGATAACCGGAACAAGTGACGCAATTATACCCTTTGGGTCTCGATAATACCGTCTGGCATTCCTGTTCAACGGTCCGGACGGTTACGACGCCTGGCGCACTCATTCCCTGAGGTCACAGGGGAGTTAGAAGATTTTTCCGTATCCTGGCTGGTTCTTTGGGAGAGGAGACAGTGTCGGGCGCCGACTTGGCCGTATAGTGTGGGCGGCTGGTGTACCCTCGGGGGCGTAGTGGGCGGCTCGTGTACCCTCTGGGGCGTAGTGGGCGGGTGGATCCTTCTCTGTTGGAAGGCGTTTTGCGTTCTTGCTCATTTGGATACGAGCTTAGAAAGGGATGATGTTTTTGTCATGACTTTGTCTACCCAGAGTTCTCTGTGCTGGGTGGGGACCGGTGCTTGCCTCTCCGCGGGCCTGTCTCTCAGTGTGTTAATTCGTCACAAGGGGCGTTCGTCTCCTCCGCTAACCTTACGGCTATAGCACCCATGTAGAAGCGTACATCCAGCACCACTGCCGTCGAGGCTCCTAAATCCACAACAACATCAACACATTGCTTCTGGAGCCACAGGAAGACCACGACACGAGAATGTTATCGAGGAGCCACAAGGCGTGAATGACCATCTTCTGGAGATCCTAAAGAGGGAACAAGACACGAGCAAGATATCGAGGCGCTGCAATGGACGCTACTAACCTGCTTCTGACTTGGATTTGATCTTGCGGCAAGTGACTCCGTGGCGCTGGTCCTTCTCCATGTAGCCAGAGAAAGCCAGGCAGCCTCCGAAGAACGAGATGTGCCATATGTATGCCACCACCACCGCCATGCCTGAAATATATTCATATGAATGATTACATGTATACCATCACTGTAACCACTGAAACATCATCTGCTACATTTATTACTTTCAGTAAACATTGGCGAAAGATTTGTTTGTGCTTTATTTTTTATTATAATATATTCACGTGCCATTTGTTAGTGGCGTGTTTATATATAAATATATATATATATATATACTAGGAGGTACCCGGCGCTACCCAGGTCCTAAATCTGTTCATCTCTGTCCATCAATCTATGTATACTGTCTGTCTCTGCCTTTGTCTCTGTACCTTTTTCTCTATATTTCTCTGTCTTTGTCTCAGTGTTTGTCTGTGTCTGACTATCTGTATCTCGTACAAAAATATAATTGTTTAATGTGTCGGAGGTCGCCAGTTAGAGGCGCTTCAAGGTGTGTAATACTCAAACAATAATATTTACCCTTTACTATGACATGGGACTCTGACTTGAGAAACCTTGCAAGCTATGGAAGAATTGTTTCTTTTATACTGGCAAATGATTAAAAACGGGAAATTTTGGTTAATTTTCCCCGAGTTCAGTGAATAATGGTGCATATTACTATAAGAAAACAAATTGTCTTGAAACGTTTGTTTTGGAAATATTTAGCTGAGTAGGCAACGAGTAGTGCCCCCAAAAATCGACGTAGGGGACTGAATTAAACCCCTCTGGCACGCTGTTGCCTTTTGAACTCTGACGACCGCGATTACCCTATGTTCATCCTGTACCCCAGACCATTCCCTCTGCTAATTTGGGCGAAGCTAACCGGAACGTGTGGCTTCCAACTTTGAACAGACTAACACTCTCTTAAAACTCAGATACGATAAGAGAGAATGTGTCTTATGCACGGACGAAGGGGGGGGGGGGACGAAGGGGTGGGGACGAGGAGGGGGTAAGGACGAGGGAGTGAGGACGATGGAGTGAGGACGATGGAGTTGGGGACTAGGGAAGTGGAGGAAAAGGTAGGGGGGAGGGGGAATTAGGGGGCAGAATTTAGCATAAGGTCCAACAACTGATGACGTCACAGGTTCGGTTACCAAGTCGTTTTTTGCTATTTTTTGCTATTTTTTGCTAGTTTGTTTTTTGCTAAAACCTGCTATATCCTTCAGTATTTCCTTATCACTTAATTAACAATTTCAAACGGGTGAAAATTTCAATTTTGTGATGGACTAGAGTGGAAACAGAATTACATAAGCAGGACTGATTTGCTAAACACCGATTATATTATTTAGTGAATACAACCTTTAGTTCATCCCTTTTTGTGATTGGCTGTTGCGGTGAATGTCACCAAAGAATATCTGCCAATGAAATGTAAGCGCGGGAATGCTTCCTTGAGCCCAACAACCCGCCTTATGGGCTGCTGTTGGCCTGTTTGATAGTTCAATATCATGATAACAGATGGCGTTTGCTGTATCTTGCAGGTTGGATATGTGATAGTTTAATTTTATTTCGATAGATGTCGTGTGCTATATCTTATGGCTGCTGTTGGCCTGCCCTGTTGTTAGTGCGTTTACCTGCCGATAGATGGAATCAGCTGTAGTATTCCCTCCGTATTCCCATTAAACATTGACGTACAATTCCCGTAGCTCATAATAAAGGTTTTATATCTATTTTATAGATAGATAGATAGATAGATAGATAGATAGATAGATAGATAGATAGATAGATAGATAGATAGATAGATAGACAGATAGATAGATAGATAGATAGATAGATAGATAGATAGATAGATAGATAGATAGATAGACCCAAGCACCACTAGGAACCGAAATGTCGTCACTATAATTTAGTTTCACATATGCGGGTTGAATTTTTTTTCCTCAACCCCGGTATTGTGACATTCTCTATATGAGATTCATATATTGAGCTGAGAACATTTCTTATTCGAAACACGACAGTTTACAGCGAGAGTTACCATTGTGTTTCAGGAGGAGTTGATGTCATCTTACAGCAAGTATCCTTTATCCTTCATTAATATCTAACAATGAGCATCCATACATTGCTTAAAGTCGAATAAATGTAGGTGAAGCAAGAAATTTTCCAACTTTTGGATTAAAGCTACTGACACAAAAATCTCAAATTACATTTACACATTGTTAAAAAAGACTAAAGATTTCTAAAAATTTACAGATGCTAAAAGACACTTTAGCATCATTAAAATCGACCGCAGAACAACTTACCTGTGTATATGGAAAAGATCTGGACGGAAGGGAATGGAGTGATGGCCCCGACGAAGAATGAGATGACGTCTGTCACTGTGGTGATGGTGATTCCTACCGCAGCATCACTAAACGCCTGGCCCATCCTCTCCGGTACACTGTCTTGAAGACGGGTACGTCGCCACGCGGCCAACATCACAAACACGTCGTCCATACCGATACCTGAGACGGAACATGGTTTATTTATAAGACTATGCAGATAATAAGCCACAATTGCTGGAAGTGAGAAACACATCCCAACCCACACGTGTGAAAATAAAAGTTTGTGACGACGTTTCGGTCCGTCCTGGAGCCTTATCAAGCTGTGACGACGTTTCGGTCCGTCCTGGACCCATATCAAGGTGTGACGACGTTTCGGTCTGTCCTGGACCCATATCAAGCTGTGACAATGTTTCGGTCCGTCCTGGACTCATATCAAGCTTTGACGACGTTTCGGTCCGTCCTGGACCCATATCAAGCTGTGAGGACGTTTCTATCCGTCCTGGACCCATATCAAGCTGTGACGACGTTTCGGTCCGTCCTGGACCCATATCAAGGTGTGACGACGTTTCGGTCTGTCCTGGACCCATATCAAGCTGTGACAATGTTTCGGTCCGTCCTGGACTCATATCAAGCTTTGACGACGTTTCGGTCCGTCCTGGACCCATATCAAGCTGTGAGGACGTTTCTGTCCGTCTTGGACCCATATCAAGCTGTGACGACGTTTCGGTCCGTCCTGAATCTAAGGATCCAGGAAGGGCCTTGGTCATTGATCGTCGTCACAGACGATCAAGTATCAAGCTGTGACGTTTCGGTCCGTCCTGGATACTTATCAATTGGTAACTGGGATTTGATAAATATCCAGGACTTGAGTTGGGACGTGATAAGGGTCCAGGATGAGCCGAATCAGTATCACCTTTCATTTGTGTGGATTGCATTATTCATAAGACTATCAGGTCAATAATTTTTGAGTATCTCGTAATCACGAGTTTTTCATTACCATAAAACATGGTAGAAAATTCGCAAGCATCTTATATGAAGCCTTCGAGGCTGGTTATGTCTTGGTGAGAAAGCAATTTCTGAGCTTAAAAAGTAAACAAAGAAATTACAAATTAAATCATAGCTACCATCAGTCAAGAGATAATTTATACAACCTCAGACAACATAATGCCTTATCTTGAGGTTATCTTGAGATGATTTCGGGGCTTTTTAGTGTCCCCGCGGCCCAGTCCTCGACCAGGCCTCCACCCCCAGGAAGCAGCCCGTGACAGCTGACTAACACCCAGGTACCTATTTACTGCTAGGTAACAGGGGCATTCAGGGTGAAAGAAACTTTGCCCATTTGTTTCTGCCTCGTGCGGGAATCGAACCCGCGCCACAGAATTACGAGTCCTGCGCTCTATCCACCAGGCTACGAGGCCTTAGCCACAACAAGAACCGGCTTTGCTACAGCCCTGGCGTACAAAATAATATCATTTACCATTATTAAGAACAGCAAGTACACAAAACATGAATATGGAAGACTAAAGTCAAAACAAATAAATCAAAATGGAGACCAAGAAAACTGGTTTAGCACTCACCTAACATAAGGAAGGGGCCGGCCATGTTGATACCAATAAACTCCAGCCCAAGATAAATGAGAAAGCCAAAAGCAGCAACGCAGGAGAGAGAGACGGAGACGATGCCAAGCAGTCCAAGCCATGGCTTGGTCCTCACCCAGTCTCCAGCCATGGCGGAACTCACGCTAAACAGTACCATGATCAACACTGTTCCGCCGAAGAAGGGGGTCACCGAGTTGGAGTTTTTGTCGAGTTCCAACTCCAGCGTGCGGGATACGAACCTGGCGACGGTGATGCTGCCGAAGTCCCGGTCACCCACTGCTTTCAGGATGGCGTCTTCCCAGAGCGCTCCGCTGGTGGGGGAGGAGAGACACTTGATACATTAACTATTAACAGGTAGTGGCCAAAGTTACTACCGTTCCCCTGTCAAATGCAAAGAAAAAAATTCTGGTCTATGTTATATTAGATCAAGGAATCTAGATACAGTCTAGATTGTATGAAACAAATGTGCCAACAGCTTGACAAATACATCGAATCATCTATAAAAAGATTAATTTTTTAATGGAGCTGATTGAAGGTGCTGGAAAAGTAGAGATAGAAAGCTTACGCAGAGTCCTCCTTGGCGTTGTTGGTCCTGAGCCAGTAGAAGAGTGAGAGCGCCTCCACCTCCTCAATGACACTATCATTGTTGACGGTCGCTCCACCGAAGAAGAAAGGAAACACATACGTCTCGAAGTTGTTCGGGTTGAGCATTATGGGGTAAGTCAGGTTGAAGGTGCCATTTTCAACCCCCGGCATTAGATCCTGAAGACCTAAGACGTTGTTCTCATAACATTCACTGTCCCAGACGGCACAGAGGTCGTCGTATCTCACCACCTTGTCGTTGTTGACGACACTGACGGAGTGGACCAGACGATCTAACGACACTATGTCGTTCCAAACCTCCGACCGCAGGATAGTCCGTTCATCTTTGGCCATAATGATAAATCTAGCAAAGCGTCCCATCCGGGTTATCCGCGACGGGTTAAAGTTCGAAGTAAAGTTAAGGGAGAAGTTGTCTTCAACGACACTTCGCTCGTACTTAGCGTAACCCGACCTGGGCGAGAAGAGATATTCTGGATCATCCTCGTACTTGATTCTTTGGAATCCGGTGGCTAAGAGAGCAGTTATGAAGAGAGGCACCAAGATGAAGTACCCGTAATACAAGGCAACCGTATGGCCGAGCCGGTAAAAGGAATTCCTGAGAACGTGTTCGAACTTCTTTAGACAATGACCCATGTTTGGACGGAGCTCTGGCAGGGTGATGGAGGCAGTCGGTGCCCAGGCAGCAGAGGGGAAGGTTGCGTGGCTCCTCTCTCCTCAAACCTGAGGAAAAAAATGCAAGAAAATCAATCCATTAATTTTTATTTTTACTTCATATACCAATATACCAACTTAGGTTAAAATAACACACACAATGTGTCTCACTGTTCCACATATATTTACAGTACGAAAAGTCCTAAAGAAACATGTCCGGAATGTGATTTACAATAATTCTCCATTGTTTGTGTTTGATATAATGCAGGTGAAGCAGTTTTATAGCCATGGAGCAGATCTATATATACAACAATCCAATGACCCTGGATCATATTGCTGACAGGGACAACTGGTTGCATAAATATTGTGTTAAACACGGGCGCGCACCATTCCTTCCCCCCGTCCCATCTCTATTCCTTATCCTGATCCTTTCCAAGTGCTATCGATGTAGTCGTAATGACTTTCTCCTGATAGTTCTTGTCCCTTCCATCACGTTCTATTAATTCAGTTAAGTATGATCCGCCTTTGGTCTTTGGAAAACCAGGATGGTATTCCTACCTTCTCGTACCACCTTGTACCATCTCGTACCACCCTGTACCATCTCGTACCACCTTGTACCACCTCGTACCACCCTGTACCATCTCGTACCACCTTGTACCATCTCGCATCAGCCCATTAACAGTCCAGAACTGATCGTGTCAGGATATGGGTCACCAGGAAGCTTTTTGCTGTGGTGACCTTTGGGGAATTCCGCGGGAAATGGGGGATGGGGAGGGATATAGACATGGGGATAAATAGATAATAGGTTATTGGTTGTGCTGAGGATGTTGCAATGCTCAGAAACACACAGCAGATGATGCTGAGTTGCAATTCATCACAACTCAGCTTCGTGGTAATAGTTCAGGATGGATCCCAACGTTGTTGTTAATATCTGTCAATATATCTGTTGAAATGGGTCATTAAGACTTGTACAATCACTCAGTCGGTCTCAACGTGACCTAAATATTGAGATTTCCGCCCTTTATGTCAAAGAACATGATAAAGATATACCTCATGCCAAGGACATATACCTCAGCCCTTCTTTCCAAGAGCAACATTTGAACATTAGCATCTGGGATGCTCTCGGACGTAGGTTCGAATCCTCGTCACGGCCTTTGTGGATTTGTTCAACATTTGAACGCCGTCCTCAAAGATACTTTCATATTTCTCCTTCGACTGCCCATAGCAAGAGCGTTCCGTCAAAGTGAATGTCCAGATGAGGTCCCGAGAGACAGAGAGAGAGAGAGAGAGCGGCTTGCCAGCGACCACGTGAGTGAAAGTGAAGACTTTTGCCTGATGGAAGGTCGCCGTTGGATGGAGATTACATATGCCGCGAGACTTGATAATTAACCTGGGTGTTGTGTGACACAGCAACACCTTTGTCACCCAACTAGATCCCACCGTCTTTGTGATCAAAGACTAATCGTTCGTTTACTTCATTTATTATGCACTCTATACCCCTATACTGTTGCTTTGGAACTGAACCCAAAAATGTATTTGGGAATGTAAGTTACAGCTTTGATAAAAGAGTTACAGAATTTGTGGCCCGGGTTCGATTCCCGGACTAGGCAGAAACAAATGGGCAAAGTTTCTTTCACCTTTAATGCCCTTGTTACATAGCAGTAAATAGGTACCTGGGAGTTAGACAGCTGTTATGGAGCTGCTTCCTGTGTGTGTGTATTCACCTAGTTGTATTCACCTAGTAGTATTCACCTAGTTGTGTTTGCGGGGGTTGAGCTTTGCTCCTTCGGCCCGCCTCTCAACTGTCAATCAACTGTTCACTAACCACTTTTTTTTCCTCCACACCACACACACACACACACACCAGGAAGCAGCCCGTGACAGCTGACTAACTCCCAAGTACCTATTTACTGCTAGGTGACAGGGGTATTCAGGGTGAAAGAAACTTTGCCTGGTGCGGGAATCGAACCCGCGCCACAGAATTACGAGTCCTGCGCGCTATCCACCAGGCTACCAGGCCCAAATGTGTGTGTGTGTGTGTGTGTGTGTGTGTGTGTGTGTGTGTGTGTGTGTGTGTGTGTGTGTGTGTGTGTGTGTGTGTGTGTGTGTGTGTGTGTGTTAGTAACAGTTGATTGACAGTTGAGAAGTGGGCCGAAAGAGCAGAGCTCAACCCCCGCAAGCGCAACTAGGTGAATACACACACACAACACACACACACACACACAACACACACACACACACACAAAGAACCAAAACTTTGGCGGGACCAAGGAGCCAAAGCTCAACCCCCGCAAGCACAACTAGGTGAGTACACAGACGTTTACAACGAGACTCGTCCCAGAGCTGCAAGGGATGAGGTACGAAGACAGACTGAAGGAACTAGACCTGACCACGTAAGAAAAGAGGAGGGAGAAAGGGGGGGGACATGATACAGACATATAAAATACTTAGAGAGATTGACAAGGTGGAAACAGAGGAGATATTTACAATGAATAACAATAGAACAAGGGGACATGGATGGAAGCTTGAGACTCAGAATGGTCATAAAGAAGTTAGAAAGTTTTCTTTTAGCGTAAGGGAAGTGAGTAAATGGAATAACCTAAAGGAGCAGGTTGTAGAGGCTAACTCCATCTATAACATTAAAAGAAGGTATGATAGAGAAATAGGTCAGGAGTCATTGCATTAGACAACCATCGGCAAGAAAAGCGGGGTCCAAGAGCTCGAGCTCGATCCTACAGGCACAAATAGTACACACACACACAAACATAAATATATAGAGTAGACAGAATAGAGGAAAAATACATATATATATATATATATATATATATATATATATATATATATATATATATATATATATATATATATATATATATATATAACTGCACCATTGATCGATATATGTTGTGATTTATCCTCAGATTTTCACAGTAACTTAATTAAAGGTAAAGCTAGAGACGCAGAATAACAAAATAAACGGAAAGAGATGCAGAAAAGGGGAAAAATACGAACTGAGAATGAGAGAGAGAGAGAGAGAGAGAGAGAGAGAGAGAGAGAGAGAGAGAGAGAGAGAGAGAGAGAGAGAGAGAGACAATGAGAGTCGTGCTCCGTCTGGGCGCCGAAGCACCCACTGGTCGCAATATACCTTCTTGAACCATAATAGCCATGCTCCACACGTAGGTGGTAAACATTGTATATTCAGGACGAGTCGCCCCACATCCAACTTGCCCTACTTATTCCGGCAATAGGCTTCACTTCCCAGTCGGGTCTGGATGACTTTTTTCCCCTCTTCTCAGTCGGGTGTGGATGACTTGACTTCCCAGACTTCCTAGACGGTCTTGGATAACTTCCCAGACTTCCTAGACGGTCTTGGATAACTTCCCAGACTTCCTAGACGGTCTTGGATAACTTCCCAGACTTCCTAGACGGTCTTGGATAACTTCCCAGACTTCCTAGACGGTCTTGGATAACTTCCCAGACTTCCTAGAAGGGCCTCGATAGATTTTTTCTAATTTGCATTCGTTTTAGGATGAATTTCAAATCATCATGAAAATGCAATCATAGAAGGTAGATATTTAGTAGATAAAGTAGATAACAACATCGTTATGGTGTCTAGTACTATAACTACTCTGCCAACTGACGGTACAAAAGTACTGGAAAGTCGTCTGACTTTTAACTCCAATACCCGACAGCACTCGTGACAATTTTGGGCATAGATATTTCATCAGATCACTTCATCATGCTGGGGAACCACATGAGTAACATGAGTAAGCCACATGAATGTGCGTCAAACTTGAATGGTTCTCTAAGCCAACATGCATCAGAAAACTCTTGACCCCCTGAAGGATGATGATGATGATGATGATGATGATGATGATGACCCCTGACCGCATGATGTTACCCATGCAGCCTCAGCATGAGTATCACACTCATGCTGGAGGCTTTTTAATACACTTTCACCTGGTGCTTACAAGGCGCTTGTATTCAGTGTTGTAGACTGACGCTAGATCCTCCCTTTCCCTCACATTCACTTCGTTGATCGTAAATTCTTGATTTGTCTCACACTAGCATATCACACTCGTTCCTCCCCTTCAGTCTAGCACATCACACTGGGTCCTCAGACTGGGTGCCTCTCCTCACCCAGAGGAGAGGCCAGTATTGATTAGGTTAGATAGGTTTGATTAGGTTTCGTATGTGTACAGTATAGTACACATACGAAAAGAATAGAGATAGTAGGAGAAGAAAATATCAAAATGTTCAGTGAGTATCCACAAGGTCTTCTCTGAGTACTCTTTATTTACTTCTCAGAGGCTATGGGTCCCTACAATTACACCAGAGGTGGTACCCCTTTTAGGTTTATTAAAAAATATATACATTATGTATATTATACATGCAAGATATATAATTTAATGATACACAAAGTGTAGGGAAGGTCTGTCAGTTAGGTCAAGTGATCAGAATGCTGGTCAAAGTTGACCTTTGACTGGAAAGGCCGACTATTGACCTCGTCCAGTTCAGCCCACAACAACCTGCTAGACTTCCGGGTGCTTATTTCGCTGCTAGGGGAACAGGTGCATCAGGTGGAAAGAAATGTCCCCACCAAGCCGTCTTTGTCCTGCCCGGGGTTTGAACTCGGGTACAACGATTGTGAGTTGAGGACGTCTTTGCTCTCTCGCTTCACACAGAATTGAAAGTTTAGAGTTAGGAGATCTCTCCTAACTTAATCTAACCTAACCTAACCTCACTCCACCTAACTTAACCTATCCTAACCTAACCTAACCTAACCTAACCTAACCTAACCTCTTTTGGGGGGTAGAAATAGCCTAAGCTACTCCATCCCTTTGAGATGTATTTTACTGTGTCAAATAACATACTTGAACTTGAACCTCACATAACCTAACCTAATCTAACCCCACCTATCCTAACCTAACCTAACCTAATCTAACCCCTCCTATCCTAACCTAATCTTACCCCACCTATCCTAACCGAACCTAACTTAACCTAACTTAACCTAACTTAACCTAACCTGTTGTGATGTATATCCAAACATCATGAAGGAGATGTTTGAC